AAAACTAAAGATTTTATACAACAATGTGCTCGATGTGCTTAATTGCACATATTGTTTGCAATTTTGCGACCTACAGCTCTGAATCTACCTTTAAAGTATCAATTCCGACATAACGGCAAGAGTCAGCCTTTTCTGAAATCTTGCAACGGCAGCAGTTACCTGTTCCTGTGAAGCGTACTGGGCACTGGACTTGGAGACAGACCAGTATGAAAAGTCATATGTGAACTGCTTGCTCCGGTCCCCTATTCTTCCAGAATCACCTTCTGATGCACTTTCAGGTACCTAAACACAAAAATGACTTGTAAGTGTAAATTATCAAATGATTTTGTACAACTTAAATTTTAGAACAGAGAAAGTATATAACAAGGCATTAAATGCAAAATGTTTTTACCTGCCATTTGTAACAGATGCCTAATGCCGAATTTGGAGACTAAAACAATATGTCAACACTGATGGTGGTGACATACTAAAAAGGCAAATTAACCTGGAGGCCGTTCCTCGAAACTTATCGTTATTAATGAATCGTTAATAGCGAATCATGGATTCGTTTCTATAGGCACCGCATTGTTAATGGAATAATGAGACCCCCATTTGTACTCGTAAAATCAATCATGGATAATGAATAAATCATTAAAAATCATGACGTCATCACGAATCATTAACTTTCGAGAAATGGAAATATTATTTTTAACAATTGAATTAACGATTCATTAATAACGAAATTTTCGAGAACAGCCTCCTGCACGCAAAATATAATCCGGTCTAGATTTCCATGACTTATACTGTATATGGCTTATCAATCAAGGATGAATAGAGTAAACTGGTATTTTCAATGAGCTAGATATGATTTTAGTATGAAGTCAAACATGCTCTTTCTTCAAGTTTTATCTGAGTGGGCATTTAGGTGATAAATATAATATAACCAGACCAGAATCCTGAGAATTTCCATGATAAAGGAGGTGCGTTACTTTAATAGGAGATTTTTTATTCATACCAAGAATCAATCTGTAATTTTATTTGTTGATAAAGTCTTCTTAAATGTGATTCATTACCTTTTAGTTTAGCTACAAGCCTCTGTGACCCTCCCCCCATACTTGACAACACACCTGCTCACACTTGTAGTGGTGAGGGGGGGGGTCACAACTCGCAAGGGCTTGTAGCTGCTAGACTACATACCTTTAGATTTGTTATTGTTGTCATATTAAACGTGACACATACCTTTAGATTTGCTATTGTTGTCATATTAAACGTGACACATACCTTTAGATTTGGTATTGTTGTCATATTAAACGTGACACATACCTTTAGATTTGTTATTGCTGTCATATTAAACGTGACACATACCTTTAGATTTGTTATTGTTGTCTTATTAAATGTGACATATACCTTTAGATTTGTTATTGTTGTCTTATTAAATGTGACACATACCTTTAGATTTGTTATTGTTGTCTTATTAAATGTGACACATACCTTTAGATTTGTTATTGTTGTCTTATTAAACGTGACACATACCTTTAGATTTGTTATTGTTGTCTTATTAAATGTGACACATACCTTTAGATTTGTTATTGTTGTCTTATTAAACGTGACACATACCTTTAGATTTGTTATTGTTGTCTTATTAAACGTGACACATACCTTTAGATTTGTTATTGTTGTCTTATTAAATGTGACACATACCTTTAGATTTGTTATTGTTGTCTTATTATCTTGCATTGAGATATTAAATGCAGACCCAAGATTCTCCTCCCTGGAAAGAAAAGTCATCATTTGAGATAAGCAATGCACAACTTCAAATGATGCAAGGCTATATTACTAAATCCATCAGTCGCAATAATTATGATTCGAATTTACCCTAAACATTGAATACTGGTGATGTCATAGACCTGATTTAAATTAGATGTCAGTCTTTCTCAATTAAGACATGCAAATTTACATTCTAAAACTTGATTTTTTGACCGTCGGACAGGAAGGTTTTTAGAGTATAGTTTTGAATCGTTTGAACTGTTTTTTATTTTGAATTTATAGTAAGTTGGTTATAATTTCAGAAAATAACGACTTTTCTACGTTTTCATTGTTGGAAAATATCGAGTCTCGATCCTGGGAACCAATCCTCCTTGGGGTACATTAGATCTAGAAAGTCTGACCTGACCTGATAAAAAATAAAAAAGTAAGCTTAAGGTACAGCTGGAAAGTAACATTTTGGTAAAAAATTGCTATACCTGCACATGTTATTTTCTGGTACAAAATAAAGTATGAAGGCATGTGTCAATTTCCTTGCTTTTTTCAGGAAAGTATCATTACATTGTCTTCTTTTAGAATATCTAGTAGGCGTTTAATGGGAACTACGAGACCCTATCTGTTGCAAGACTAACGCCTGGCGTAACCGTCACCATGTTATTCGGTGTTTTTTAAGTAGCGCAAGGATCCTGCCATGACCGTGGTAACGTTATCGTGAAAGCCTGGTATAACCGCGACAATGCTGTATTATATTAAAATGCCTGCCATGACTGTGGTAGTGTAATCGTGTAAGCCTGGCGCGACCGCAACCTTTATATGACATTAATGACCTTCATGTTTCGCCCATTGCTGTTGGTATTTTTTATGGATAAATCTTATTAATTGATCATTATAGAAAGTATATGCTTTCGAATCGAAGCTCCTTGAATGAGAGTAGAGATATAGTTTGTTCGCAAATTATTTATGAGTAAAAATTAGGTTTTCGTTGTGAAATTAATACACATTTTTAGTAGTCTTTATTTACATATTTAAGGTAGTTAAACACGAAGAAAAATTGTCATTACAGTGTTCTCATGCTACTTTAAATACAACCACGGTCATGAGAGGCCTTGGAACTATTGTCACGGTCATACGAGGCTTTAACATTACCACGGTCATGACAGGCCTTGCAATATAATATAGCATTGTCACGGTTATGACAGGCCTTGCAAGCATTGTAACGGTCATATCAGGCTTTAACATTACCACGGTCATGACAGGCCTTATAACCATTGTCATGGTCATATTAGGCTTTAACATTACCACGGTCATGACAGGCCTTGCAACCATTGTCACGGTCATACGGGGCTTTAACATTATCACGGTCATGGGCAGCTTGGGTCAACATTCATAAAGACAGAGACATATAATGTCTCTGGTAAAATATACAAATATACGAATATTTAAAAGTGGATAGTAAACAAATCGCTTAAACAACAATAAAAAATTCTTGAATTAAACGTAAAGGCTACGCTTGCACCAGGCTTCCACGATAACACTCATGGTCATGACAGGCCTTGCAATATAATACAGCGTTGTCACGGTTATACCAGGCTTACAAAATAACACTGCCACGGTCATGGCAGGATCCTTGCGCTACTTAAAAAACACCGAATAACATGGTGACGGTTACACCAGGCATTAGTCTTGCAATAGATAGCATGTGGGAACTACAGGAAATTCTGATATTTCACACTTTCTATTTTTCCAAATTTTCTTTCAAAGTTTCCAGACAACACAGGAGCTACAGTTGGGGACATAAATAAATGACAGGTGGATTTGCTGAAGTGAGGATTTCCCATGTTAAAAATAAGAGAATTTACAAGAGGCCATAAATCAGTGGATGAGATTATACAAAATGTAAAATATACAAATTTTAAGGGATATGTATCTAGACAATATTGGAAATTATGGGCTTTCAGACCACCATAATTCTCCTTTTCGCGGTTCGCTCTTTGAATCAGAACGTTCGCAAATATGCACTGAAAAAGCACTCAAAAAGGACAAAATTTGATTGGTCAATATTTTCCCACTATGCATTTCGCGTAGCTATTTGCGTGACACGAAAGTTCTAAATCAAACTATTACTCAATTTTGTTTTTACACCCGCACGCTAAATAAAACAATGACACCATCGTAAGTATTCTTCTTTGTCATTGCTTTAATAGTCAGTATACCGAGTTTAATCAATAAAAGATTGTACAATGAACAACAAAATTCGGAAACGAGTACTATAGATTTGCTTTCGGACCACTGAACAGATTGACCTATATAATAGCGACGCGTCTTCTTTGGTCTACTGCTCAGTTGTTTGTGGGTTTTCAACGTAACTCTATAATGTAATTTGACGATGAATACTTTTATTCAGTTGTTGCATCGATGTCGCAGTTTGTAGTGCGGTAAGATTGGCATGAAAGTATTGAAAGTCGAATTGAATTGTTTTTTCCAATATGGCGACTAGTCTACTGATCACGTGACCTTCTCTTCCGGAATATTTTCTCACTTTTCAATCATCGTTTTCACCACGCTATGAATTAATGCAATGAAAAAAATAGCTGTTATATTAAGATTAATGAGAGATCAATCGTTTCTAATAATTTTTTCAGTACTCTCGTACGGGAATATGAACGAATATATCGTTTGAAAAATAGGTGTGAAAATCCCCATGTTAAACCTATGAGGGAAAATAAGGAAGTATAAATTTGTTCCTCCGGGAACTGCATCATGGGAAATATTTTGCCCTTATAAGGAAAGATTTTCGCGTCTTCTCTTTTGAAGAGGGAACAACGATTTCGAGAATTAGGAAATGGTGATCGAAAATCGACCTGTCATTTATTTTTGTCCCCAACTGTACCATTGACCTGTTTCCAGATATTCTAAAAGAAGACAGTGTAATGATACTTTCTTGAAAAAAGCAAGGAAATACACACATGCCTTCATACTTAATTTTGTACCAGAAAATAACATGGGCAGGTATAGCAATTTTTTACCAAAATGTTACTTTCCAGCTGAACCTTAAAAAAACAAAAAAATTCTGAAAAAAAGAAGAATGATGCTCACTTCAAATTTTGATCGAAATATAGGAGACTAAATCTCACCTGGTGTTTAGAGGCCTCACCCTGACAGCAACCTTTACCGAGGCCATGGCCTCAACCCTATAATATGCCTAGTAAGACAATAAATCGAGGATTTCCTATTCGATTTCCAGCATTTGTTTTCATGTGATCCTCTTAAAATGACATCACTTCCGGGTGAAAGGTAAAGGTCACGCCCCCTTTTGATAAATAAGAATTGAAACAGGTATGTCAATTTTGTCATATTTTCACTTATTTTGCACGATTTGCAATGCCTGATTCTCAAAGCAAACATTGAACAATATTCTTATCCAACTCCTGACCTAATTTTTAGAGTGACACAACGTGATTCAACGTTATACCGGTATGCTGTGGTGAAATGTAGCCAACATTTTGCAAAATGTGTTTTCAAGATGAATGTGAATTTGATCATGCATGCAGCATCTAGCTGATACAGCTGTAGCTTTTCATTATATAGACTGACAGCTATACATGTATCATTAGGGGCCTTGTTTCGGAGTGAGTAAACAAAGTATAGTACACATTAGTAAAAGGCATTTACAGTTACAGTTGCAAAAACAATTGAATAGTCTACTATAGAATTGAATTCGATCTTCAGTACAAGATACCCATGTGTATCATACAATGTTTCGGTTTTTATGAACAGAATCAACATGATTGAAAAGGTAAGTCTGAATTGAATTAATGCGAATGAGGTCTCAAATAAGGTTGTATGTCTTTTGCAGAATGTTACACATAGGTAATGAAAACATGGGCTTTCAAGAGATCATTGAAAGCCCATGGTGAAAACACTTACATGTATTTTTGTACATGTATATACCTTTGACTTATTCTTGATCTGTGTGATTCTATTATGGTAATGCAATACATATACAAATACAGGCCTGTCAACTGTCCCGCAATTTGCGTATTTGTCAAGCATTTGCTGAAGAATTTGAAGTCACGCCAGTTTTTTTTGCGTGACACAAAATGTCACGCAAATACGCATTTTACCTGGTAATTGTCACGCAAATATGTTTCTGTAAATTTTTTTTCAAAATATGTTTATGATACGGTAAAAATACGAACGTCGGAAAAAAACGAACGCAATTTGTTCGGATTTGTCACGCGAATCCCGTATATGTCACGCATGTTCATTGGTAATTTTCGTACCTCCCCCCCCCCCCCCCCCCGTTGACCAAATCGCGAGCGTAGCGAGCGCGAAAAATTTGAGGTTATAAAAGTTTAGCAAAGGTGCTCAAACATTGGCCAAAGGTGTTTAAAAGTTGGCCAAAGGTGTTCAAAATTTGGACAAAAGTGTTCAGATTTGGACTTCGGTGTCCAACATTTGTAAGTCACTCATATTAGGTGGTCCCAAGTTGACAGCCCTGCAAATACTGCCTTTTGGCATGGTAGTATAGTGTTCACTTAGTAGGTACTATTTTTACTCGTAACTTACCTTACTCAGTTAAAGGTGCAACAATGAGTGCAGAAGGGCCATTCAATCATCATGGACCAGTGTCAATATATATTTAATTTTGGTTATTCCTTCAAGACTAACATATATAATATATTTTTATTATTTCCAAAGGAACCCCCTGGATTAACATAATTTCAGCTGATATTCCTCATGAAACATGGTGAATCTTAAAAATCTATAAGTGGGACCCCTCTCGAAGACCTAGAAGCTTTGAACTGAATTTTGCACTTCTTAATGCTGATATTGATAGTTTATCAATACATTTTAGGAAAATAGGTACAGTGTATTTCAAAGATGTTAAGCCAAATGTTGCCCTGTAGTATGTGCCAAATCTCTTCCAAAGTGGCTTAGTTAGTCTAAACCGATGTTGAGGTAGATTACTAAGAAGTGGCCCATAGTCATTAAAGATTGGTTCATTGACTTTTCATTTTCACTTGTCTGCAGTTAATTAGGTGACACGAAAGAGCTAAACGGCTTGCCCCAAGGTGCAACCGTCAAAAATATGAGTTTGAAAAAATCATGTTTTTCAAATAATAGCAGTGAGTAAATGAAATAGGAGGCATATTTGATATTGATATGTATGATAGTCTATTTGGGTGTGGTCATTTTTATTAAAAACAATAATGGTGAAGAATTATACATTACTGACCTTGAAATGCCATTTTAATTCAAAAGAAACTGTTGCTAATGATAATATTCCTATTTTACTTATTCAATGTTTTCTAAATGTTTCAATTACCATTATGTTAGTTTTTGGCAAAGTAAATAATTATAGGGGTCACACAAGGATCCACTTTATTTAGAATTTTTTCAAATTTAGTGATGATTTCAAAAAAATACCTAGTTTAACACAATTTTGTTTGTTAAATATTAAATAAAATGATGGTATTGTGTTTGTTTCATTGTTTCAACTAAAAATCACAATTCATTGCTCTTGCTCTTAGAGCTGCAGGGCATATACCAGTTAAAAAAGTGTTCAATAATGTTGATCCTTGTGTGAGCCCTATGATTATTTACGTTGCTAAAAATGAATATAACGATTATTCAGATATATAAAAATCCTTTAATAGGTTAAATAGGAATACAATGATTGACTTTTGAATAAAAAGGCATTATACATGTATATATGTAGTTGTTGCAGTAAAATTACCAAACCAAAGTGGACTATCTTTGCATATTAATAGCAAATGGGCCTTCTATTTGCATTTTACTGAAATTATTTGTAACAAAAGTTTATTGTGATAAAGCAGGCAGTGATTTTGATACTTTTTTAGCTTGCAGACAGTGATCTAGTCGAGACAGCATCTTGTAGTAATGGGTGTAACAGTGATGAGGCAGGAATTGATTTTATAAATGCAACTTTTGACAATTCCATTATTGATGGTTTATCTAACAGTTAGCCATTTTGTCCAACATTCTGCTTGTACGCCAAATTAAAAGATACTGATTTGCATCACATCAAGTTTGATTTGTTCACCGATGTTTGTCAGAGTGATACCTGTAGCAGCTGCACTCGACTGATATGCAGCAAGATACTAGTATATGTGAGCTTTCATTGCAATATTTACATTTAGAACAGTTACAATTTTACTTAGTCTGATAGAAAATTAAATAATTAAGGTATATTTCTTTGAGTTTATTCAATTTGAACATTACTTTTACAGTACAGATACCTTCGTTTTGAAACATTAGCAGCAAACGGTCAGTTTGCAACTTTGAATATTTCATTTTTGTTCATAAAAAGTGTATTCTAGAAAAGTCAAGGTCATTTCAAGGTAAAATGTCAACATTTAGGTAGTTGGCTTTTTAAGACACCTGACCCTCCACAACCAATGATTAGGTGACCTGAAGTCAAGGTCTGAATACTGAATAGATCAAGGTTATTTTAAGGTCAATATCTAGCAAGTTGACATGAGAACAATTGTGACCTTTGGGGACCAATGATGAGGTGATTTCAAGGTAATTTCAAGGTCAAAGGTCAATATCTAGGTCATAGGTAGTTGGCTACTGTGGGTCTTCAGTAACATTTGATCACCAAAGATAAAATGACCTACGGTCAATGTCACTGTTTATGGCTCAAGGTCAGAGGTCAATATCTGAATATTTGGCATTTTGGGGATGCTGCTTCATGTGAGGACCCATTGATATGTGTTCTGAGGTCAAGGTCATTCATACAAGGTCAAAATCTCTGTATTTGGCGTTTTGAGGCCCTGGGGGCTGCTATGACCCTTGGCAACTCATGCTAAGGTGACATGAGGTCAAAGACAATATCTATTGTTCAAAATTATAATAAGGTCAAAGGTCAATATCTAGGTAGTTGGCTCGTTTGAGGCTACACCGACATTTGATCACCAATGATAAAGTGACCTGAGATCAGTGTCATTGTTATAGGTCAGGGTCAAAGATCAATATCTAAATATTTGGCGTTTTGGGGTGGCTGCTGCACTTAACTCCATTGAAACGTGACCTAGGGTCAAGGTCAATCTAAGGTCAAATTTCAATATCTTAGTGTTTGGCGTTTTAAGGCCACAGGGGCTGCTGTCGTGATGTGGCCCTTGGCGACTCATAATAAGGTGACATGAGGCAGTCATCATTTAATGGTTCAATTCAAGATCGCCTCAAGGTCAATATCTAGGTATTGGTGTTTCAAGGCACTCGGGGGATGCTGTGACGCTTGGTGACACATTACAATGGTGACACATTTCAATTGACATTTCAAAAGTAAAAGTCGATCATTTCTGTTTTATCATGTCAATTTTAATAAAATTTGCCAATTTGAAGTAAAATTATAACAGAAGAGAGGTTATCCAAATGTGAGGTCATATTAATGACTGCACTCAGAAATCTTCAGTCAAGCTGACGATGTTTTTCATGAAAGAGTTACTTTCTGTTGTGGTTCTAAATTGAATAAGTATAAGCAGGTGCGTTTTCAAAAATGCAAATTTAAAGCAAATTTCGCAAAATTTAGTTATTGCTGGAATTACACCACAAAATCCGCTAAAACGTTTTAGTGGAAGGCGCTTTACAAAATCGCCATTCTGATTACACCAACATTTCTAAAGCGTCTTAGGAATTATATATTGGAATTACACCTGTTTTTTCTAAAACGCCTTTCGTGTACTTTTAACGATGTAGTTATGGATAATATCCAGCATACATGTATGTTTGCATCTCCTGTAAATGTATTCTTTTTGCATCTAAGACAAAACTGATCTTCCATAATTTGATTAAAAGTGCATGACATTGCATACTTTTTATTTATCTTTTATTAATTATGAGAAAACATAATAAAAAGGTAAAAGAAAAACATGTAAGATAACACTTGATTTCGATGTGACCTCAGGCGACCATCATCCATTTTTCAATTTCAATATAGCCATATAGCAGCGTGATCGGATGTCTCATCATGTATCAAATGAATCAAATATTTCGTTTAGGGCAAATGTTAAAAACTAGTAAAAAACCGGGTAAAGCTTCTTACAAAAACCGATCGATATTACACTGCACACTTAAAACGCCTAACGACTTATGCCGTTTACTAGTGACAAGGGTTCTTGGAGTTTTAGAAAAGCGCTTTTGTAAAACCGCAATCGTGATTACACCTAATTCTTAAACCTGGTTAAAACCGAAGACGCTTTTGTAAAACGCCATGTGTAATTCCAGCAATTGATATGTAGAGATAGTCCATTAGGGTATGGTTATTCTCTTAAAAACAATTATGGTACTTTAATACTTCTGACTATATAATGCTTTTTTATCCAAAAGTCAATTATATTATTCTTATTTTGACTATCAAATGATTTTCATATATCCGAATAACCATTATATTCGTTTTTGGCAAAGTAAATAATAGTAGGGATCACACAAGGATCAACTGTATTTAAGATTGGTCATACTGGTATATGCCCTGCCGCTCTATGATCAAGAGCAATGAATTGTGATTTTTCAGTTGAAACAGGGAAACAAACACATTATCATTATTTTGTTTAACATTTAACAAATAATTTTCTGTTAAACGAAGTAATTTTTCAAAACATCACTAAATATGAAAAAGGTGGAAATAAAGTGGATCCTTGTGTGAGCCCCATTATTATTTACTTTGACAAAAATGAATATAATGGTAAGTGTAATATATAGAAAACATTGAATAGGTAAAATAGGAATATAATTAATAACAACTGTGACTTTTGCATTAAAATGGCATTTTAAGGTCAGAAATGTGTAATTCTTCAATGTTATTGTTTTTAATAAAAATGACCACACCCAAATAGACTATCATACATATCAATATCAAATTTGCCTCCTATTTCATATACTCGCTGCTATTATTTGAAAAAATTTTTTTTTGTCAAACTCATCTTTTTGCCGGTCGCACCTTGGGGCAAGCCGTTTAGCCCTTTCGTGTCACTTTTTTGAGTGCAGACAAGTAAAAATGAATAGTCAATGAACCAATCTATAATGACTATGGGTCAAATCATAGTAACCTACCTCAACATCAGTGAATTGTATTTTCTGGAGTTTTGGCGCACACTACTGATAGCTCAGGAAAGTTTCGAATTTTCTCTCTACAGGCTTTGTTGCCCCTTCGTGTCTACTGAGGGCACATGGCCAACTGGGAGGTATTCTTCCAATTTTAAAATGAATTGAATAAAACCAAACCATAGATATATTTTTAAATGTTAATGTTTTAATTAAATTCCGTTCAAATTCTATCACTGTTAAATTATATATGATACATTACAGTTTAACAGATTATATTGACAAAGACATAGACAACAGGGTTATAAAAATAGCCAAATTGCCATTTTTATTTACATAATATCAAAATGAATATAAGAATTGTTTTCTGCTTTTTAGTTGACTTTTTATATCTTTTCAACGTGAGAAAGGTTAGGTCTTCTTTATATGTTACGCTATTTGTTATTTAATGTAAGCAATGAAAAGCATTAAATTTATCCCTATATATTGCACGTTATTCGATATGTAAAAATGAAAAGCGCTAATTTTATCCTTGTTTTTCATCATAATTTTCTAACCCTGCAAAACAAGTTGAGACCTAGCCTTGATATTTCTTTCCAGACAAGTATTGCATTGTTTATATTTGCCTTGATATTTATTTGTAGACAAGTGTTGTATTGTTTATATTTGCTTTACCACATGTTCCTCAACTGTCACATGTCTGGCTCATAACCAGTTTTGGATTTGGGGATCCTACACATTGAGTTGGTCAGGTGTTCATTGAAATCAGTTTTACATTCAAAACAGGATATTTGTTTTATGAATACTTATACTTTACCTACTGAGGGGTGGGGTGGGGGTAACTATTGATATTAAGAGAAAAGTAAGCCTGAATGAGGAAGAAAGGGAGAGAACACAGAGTGGTTATACTGTATGTGATTTGGGAATAAATATTTATAAGAGACAATCAGAGCTAATCAGGGAGGTGGGATGGCTTGTAAAATAGTCATGGTGGTGTACATGTATTTAAATGGGATAATGAGCATCATCTAATTTATTATCTTCTTCCCTGACATTCCAAAATCATTCAATGTAATTATACTGTCTCATTGAATGATAATAACCAGATAGTTGCTATGTACCCTAGCCTAATATGCTGTCGTAATAATGAATATTATGAAACATTTTTTCCAGAAAAGATAACATCCCTCAACATCTAAATGGTCCACTCCTTACTTGAATTACTTTTTATGATTCAGCTTCATCCTTTAAATAGGCCACAAACATGTAAATAGTTTCAGTAACCTTCACTGACATGATCATTCACAACAAAGCTGATCTAATCATCTAACACCATATAGGACCATTTATAACATACATATCCAGAAATGAGGGTGAAAGTGGTATCATGGAGGTCTAGATAGAAACCAGTGAAAGAATAAGTTTTTGTCAAATAATTTTTTTACTAAAACTAAGTAACTATGGAAAGTATTTTTTTTTATTTCAGTTACTAAAAAGTATGCCATCGGGGAAGAAATTAATCAATACAGTAGAACGATGTGTGGACGAGAATTTAGAGGGTCTTGTCATGGTCAATCCTGGTCTGCGATTGGTCAAAGGACATCGGGTGATTGTACGTGCAGATATTGAAGAATACAAAGCAGCAGGGAAAGTTGGGTTAATCTCAGGAGGAGGCTCAGGTCACGAACCAGGACATGCAGGTATTTGGCTTCACTTTGTCACCAATGACCTTGACTGTAACATATGGCCTTGACCTTGGTCATTATAATTATATGACCTTTAACCTCAAATACAGCCATGCAGTTAAATTTAGTAACAGGGATCAATATTCTGTATTTTGAATTTAGCTGGCACAATTAATTATGAATAATGTTGATTCCAGGAGTATACATGTATCTACATCACTTACATTTCCTTTACATTTTAGACACATGGTATTGTGCCTAATGTCATCTAAACCATACAAAAAACTGAACTGATGAAAATATTTGATTTATTTTATAGGTTATGTGGGGCCTGGTATGTTGACAGCCAGTATAGCAGGGTCCGTGTTTACATCTCCACCCCCAGGAGACATCCTTGCTGCCATACGAGCTGCTGGAAAAGGAAATCCAGGTATTGTGTATTAATGTGAAGGAATGGCTCAAAGTTTTATGACTTGAGTCCCAATTGTTACTTGCTAGAGTTTAATAAATATTTGAACTTGAATTTTGTTATGTCACAACCACCAAAAAGTGGTGACATATTGTTATGGTCTCCATTTTTTGACGGCTGTCGGTGGTTGGCGGTTTGTGGTTGATGGTTTGCGAATAACTTAACAAATACTTTAAGACTGACTTAATTTTTTTTAAATCATCTCCACATTTTCAGAAGTTCAAGTCTGACTTTATAGCTAAGATTTGACCTTCTCATGGTAAAAAAAAAGGTTAAAAAGGTCTTTTTTCAACTTGCTTCAAATTGACCATTTTTTTAAAATCATCTACAAGTTATCAGAAGTTTAAATCTGACTTTAGATTTGAGATTTGACATTCAATGACCTTCTCAAGGTAAAAAGGTCTTTTTTCAACTTGCTTCAAATTGACCAATTTTTTTTTAATCATCTACAAGTTATCAGAAGTTCAAATCTGACTTTAGATTTGCGATTTGACCTTCAATGACCTTCTCAAGGTAAAAAAAGGTAAAAAAGGTATTTTTTCAACTTGCTTCAAATTGACCAATTTTTTTAAAAATCATCTACAAGTTCTCAAAAGTTCAAATCTGACTATAGATTTGACCTTCAATGACAATCTCAAGGTCAAAAATGATTCGACCTTCTTTGACCTTCTCAGGGTTAAAAAGTTCTTTTTTCGTCTTGCTTCAAATAAACCAGTTTTTCTTCAAAATCATCTACAGGTTCTCAGATTGCAAATTTGACTTTAGATTTGAGATTTCACCTTAAATTATCTTCTCAGTGTCAAAAAGGTCTTTTTTCAACTTGCTTCATAGTGAGATTTATATAGGATTCTAACTACATACACTTGTGTATAAAGGACTAGAGGCCATAATACAGCAACTTTGGATTAAAACCGTCAAATATTTGGATATATTTTGGACCTCAAACTTTTTTGTATGTAAGTAAATATAGCTGAGCAATATTACTGCAGATTACATATACACATAAACATTGTTTAAGCCTATTATGTGGCTCTGTATAAACACTAAATAGCCACTTCTCTATATCAACATACACAAGTAAGGGACCATCTCAAACATGGAGAATATTGTTAAAAACACAGAACTATGGGTTAAGCTAGAAGCCAGAGGAATGGGCAGAATGAACGAATATGAACTACTTGACAAACTTATATCACAGGCTGATGATAGAATTCGACCGGATGTAATAAAAAGAGACAATATAATTGGTGTGCAACTATTCAGTGGCTCCTACATAATTTATACTGACAGTCTTGGAACAAAAGCCAACTTATTATCTCTTGGCTCTTTATGCGTCAATGGAAAGCAGTTCAAAATAAGTGACTACTTCGCAACACCCAGCGCATCGTTTGGAGCAGGACGAAACTCCACACGAGTATCAATACATGGTATACCACTTCATGTTTCCAACTCGGAAATTGAGCAGTGGGTGGACTCATTTGCAGAACGTACCTCAGACGTGAAATTCCACAGCAGAAGAGCGACTAATGGAACACGACACAGTGTACTCACAGGGCATAGGTTTTGTTATGTGAGAAAAATAGTCAAATCGCAACCTAGATATTTAGACTACACAATACCCAACCCCTTCAATCCTCCAGAGCTAATCGAAATAGACATAGTAATATATCACGATGGACAAGAAATCAACTGTCCACATTGCAGAGGCGAACATAATATCAATGACTGCCCAAAAAGATCAAAACCAAAGTGCTTCCAATGTGGTTTGGAAGGTCATCGCAAATCAGAATGTCTTCTGAGAACATCCGATGAAACAACGAAGCCAAAAATCACTTGCTGGAAATGTGGTATTGATGGACACCGGAAATCGGCATGCCCGATGGAAACAACAGGTCGTCAGAAGGTCCAGGAACAGACAAAGCCGCAAGAACCAACAACTAAGAGTGCAGAGAGTGGTGCCAAAATAGCAGAGAAGCTCATAACACGTGCCCTTCAACCAGAAGATAGCTCAATATCTTCACCAGATGCCATGAAAATGGCAGATAAGTTCTTGGCTGAGTGCCACCAAAATACTTCAACCCCCGCTAAGAACATCTCAGATAATGCCAGTTGTGACTCTACAACTAAGCAAAAATCCTCTCTTAAAGTGCATCTTAAGAGAAAAGATATAAGCCCCCTTGAAATGAACAGTGACTCAAAGAAAAATAAGCTTGGATCCCCTATCATACTAGACATTGACAACAATGGTTAATTTGTTATTTTCATATAACAAGCATATCTATGGAAAACCTACTGCTATGGACATGGACTGTGAATTGCAACACACTGTTGTTGCAGGACTGTGGATTATATTATATACCTTTTATTTACATTAAATGGTAAATGTTTTAAGTGTAAATGTAAGGGGATTAAGGAATAAAAGAACCAGGTTCACTTTTTTTCAGTTTTTGAAAAAGCATAAAATAGATATTTGCTGTATACAAGAATCATTTATTACAGATGATGTAGCAAAAACATGGGAAAAAGAATGGAAAGGGCAAATGTTTTATAATGCTGGAACAAAGCACAGTAAAGGTGAAATGATTTTAATTAGTGATAAATGTACAGAAATATCAAATATGCAAGTCATACATGCTGAGTCAAGAATTTTAGGTATTTCATGTCAATATTCTGATAAGCCATTGTATATTTTTAATATCTATGCTCCAAACCAAACAAAGGAAAAAATTGACTTCTTCAAAAAGGTAACCAGAACTATAAATCAAAAAAATATACTTACATCATCTGTTTTGATTGGAGGTGATTTTAACTGTACATTAAGTAAATTAGACAATATATGTGGTGAAATGCACAGTCAAATTGAAATCAAAGCATTCAGTAATATGGTAGAAAGTTTAAAACTAAACGATGTTTGGCGATTACAACATGATGACTGTAAAGAATATACATGGAGGCACAAATCAAAAGCAATAATGAGAAAAATTGATTTTATTTTTACGAATGAAACCTGTTTTGAATATGTTGAATCCTGTGATATATTAAATGTACCAAACTCAGATCATAAAGGTATATACATGCACTTAGATTTCGGTGAATTTAAAAGAGGGCCATCATATTGGAAATTCAATGATAGTTTTTTAAAAGATATAGTATATGTAAACATGGTAAACAATTTAGTCACAGAAATCACCCAGTTAGAAGAATTACAATCTTTACAAAAATGGGAGTATTTTAAATCCAAAGTACAATCAATCAGTATTCAATATGGAAAAACTAAAGCTAAAGAGAAACGACAAAATTTAGAAGGTATCAATAAATCTTTGAAAAATGTTTCGATTAAGTTAACAAAAGATCCCCAAAATGTAGACCTGGTAAACCAGGCAAATCACTTAAAACTCATGTATGATAACATTTTAGCTGTAGAAACCAGAGGTGCCCAAATAAGGGCAAAAGTTCAATGGGCTGAAGAAGGTGAAAAAAGTTCCAAGTATTTTTTAGGTTTAGAAAAAAGCAGAGGAAAGAGTAAAATAATGAAATCATGTAGAGTAGAAAATAATTTGTACACCAATCCCAATGATATCATGGGTGCTCAAGTAAACTATTATAAAAATATTTTTAGTGTAAACAGTAATTACTCCAGAAACAAACTGAATGAATATTTACATGGAGTAGTACTGCCCTCTTTAAATGAAGAGGAAATGCAATCTTGTGAAGGACAAATAACTTTAGCTGAATGTACTCAGGCACTCAAAAATATGTCAAATACTTCAAGTCCAGGTCTTGATGGACTCACTACATGTTTTTATAAATGTTTTTGGAACAAGATAAATGAACTTTATGTATCAGCTATAAATGATTGTTTTAATAATGGACAGTTGTCTACTTCCCAAAGACAAAGAGTAATTACTTTATTATATAAAGGCAAAGGTCTGCCAATGGAGTGTCTTCCAAGTTGGAGACCAATATCATTAACAAACACTGATTATAAAATTTTAGCAAAATCATTAGCAAATAGGCTCAGAAAAGTAATTGGAAAAATAATTAGTCATGATCAATGTGGATATATACCAGGTCGCACACCAGCTACTGCTTTAAGACTTATTGATGATGTAATAGAACATTTATGTAACAATGACGATGAAGGTGTACTTGTAGCACTGGATTATTCCCGTGCGTATGATAGTTTAAATAAAGAGTTAATGTATGACACATTCCAAATTTTTGGTTTTGGTCCTGATTTTATCAAATGGATAAAAACACTTAATTCAAATGGGCTAAGCTGCATTAATTTTGGAGGTTGGCTCTCCGAGTGGATACCACTATAGTCAGGTTTATCTCAAGGGTGCCCTGCATCTGCTTTTTGCTTTATTTTATGCTGTGAACTAGTGGCATGTAAAATAAGACAGACTAATAATGTGAAAGGTATTGTAATATCTGAAACAGATGAAATTAAACTAGTTCAATACGCTGATGATATGTCACTTTTACTTAAAGATGTTGCATCTGTCAAAGAGGCAATCAATATTATTGATGCCTTTTCAAATATATCTGGGTTAAAATTAAATAAACAGAAATCAGAAGCAATATGGTTAGGCAATAAAAAATTTTGTGTTGAAAAACCAGTAAACATCAAATGGAATATTTTCCCAAATAATAGGATTAAAATATTAGGCGTAACATTTTGCACAACCAATAAGGTGGTTGAATTAGATGAGAATATTGACTGTAAATTCAAAAAATGTGAAGAAATAATGAAAAGATGGGCAGGTAGATGTTTAACCATGTTTGGTAAAATTACTCTCGTAAAATCACTAATGCTCTCACAATTTGGATACATTATGCAAAGTTTTATTTTGTCGGATAAGATTATTAAACGGATAAATTGTTTGTTTTTTAAATATATCTGGTCAGGTAACAAAGGTGTGTATAAAGAAGAAGATGTAAAAGGTGTAGTAGAATGTATTAAAAGAAATATATTGATACAGAGCAATGCAAAGGGAGGTCTAAATATGATAGATGTGAAACATTTTCAAGATGCTTTTGCAATTAAATGGATTAAACTTCTACTTGATAGAAACAAAGCAAACTGGAAAAAACTCCCAACCTATCTTATTGACAAAATTTGTCAAGATTTTTCTATTTTACTGTCTAATGTTGAATTTAATCAGGTAAAAGGACTAGAAAGAATTAAGTCCTCATTTTGGACAGATGTGTTGAAAACATGGATTATGTATAATTCAGTTAAAAGTAGTCCATATATATCAAATAACAAAGACTTGTTGTACAAGAACAATCCTTTATATTTTGAAAACTGGCATCAAAAAGGTGTTTATAAAATAAATGATGTATGTAATGTAAACAATGAACTATTAAGCTATGATCAAATTGGGCAAAAAGTAGGTTTTAATGGCCAGACTTTTCTTCAATACAATTTACTTAAAGGAGTTTTTAACAAGTTAGACAGAATCAAGATTGAGGCATTAAAAAACAGTGAAAGCAAAATATATTTTAATTGTATTCCTGTACAGAAAATCAATGTGCAATCAATAAGAAAAGGGTTTGTAAAAAACAGTTTAACAATATCCAAATCAGAAGAGTATTGGTCTGAGCAAGGGAAAGATCAATACCCGGTGATTTCAGCGGGCAGTGGCGTTTCGTTCATTGGATGAGCTGCGCGCGCACGCATAAATGTGATTATCCAATATAATTAGGGGAGGGCTATTTGAAGTAGTTTTTGGTCTCAGGCGCGACCCAGGGCTGTTGTCTTAAGGACATTTCGTTGAAAATGAGCCATTCGGCTGATAATTGGTAAGAGTTTGCGATCTTATAATGTATAACTGTTACTCAGACACATATTTTGACACGATTCTGTTGGAAATAAGCTTTGAACCGAGAGATATTCACGATTGATATGCACATTTTTGATTGTGCCATTGCTTTTCTATTGCACAATCCATGTATTGATAGAAGAAACATTAATAATACAGATTGGTTTACCTTCAATACATGGCAGACACTACATATCGGTCTATTAATACCAGTTTGTGCCTTAAATAGTTTTATATTTCCATCCACGGCCTGGAGCCTGGGTGTGTTTGTCTCTTATGTGTATGCTTGTGCATGGACTTCTAATCACTAGCAGAATTTAACATGATGCAAACTCGACATTATAACTCATGCTGTAACATTTTGACTTCGCTGGAAAACAATAGGAATTCTTTTTTCTTGCCAATCAATCATGAATCACAATCAAAATTTCAGAATGATCAATCAGGCAATGGTCCAAATCAAGTTATAACATTATATGATATTCAGCAAGAAGTCCGGTAGAAATACAGAATATTTTAACATCAAAGCTGAAAGTTAAAAGCTAATCTGTCAATTTTCTGTCTGCAAAAGAGCGTCCCAAGAGCGTTTACATTTGACACAATAACAGACTGAGGCTTTGAAATCTAGGATTCCCCAGGAAAATATGACGTCATACTAATTAGCATAAGGATTTCCCTATTGGGGTGGGTCGAGCCTTGTTCGAAAACACAATCCATAAATACATGCTAATTTCTAAGGAGATAGGAAGTGTATAACGTGTTTATCGATTTTGTTTAAAGATTTAATCAATTATCAAATTGTTTAAGTGGATAAAGTGGTCACACTTGCTTCAATTCATAGCGAAATCGACGGATAGAAACTGACCGAATTCCCGATATCCTACCCCGTATTACTGTAGGCTATAAGCACAGTGACCTACAGAGGGCGCTATCACAAACAAGTACTGGACGAACCGATAAATTCCCGGGTATTGTAACGCCCTTGGTCTGAGCAGTTTGCTCAAACGGATTTCTCAGATTTTTATAAGATTTTGTTTAAATGTAACATTAGCAATAATGTTAAAGAATTTATATTTAAATGTTTTAATGGAGCCATATGGACAGAAAAAAAATTACAAAAAATTCAGAAGTCAAATGGAATTTGTAAAATATGCAATGTTGAAGCAGAAAGTCATAAACACTTATTTGTCAATTGTACGAATGCAAAGGAATATGTAAATACTCAAAATTTAAAGTTTTCTGAACAAGAAATTTTATTTTATAGCAATGAAGGAGATTTTGAGAGCAAATGCCATAGAAACCAGCTAGTGTTTAAACACAAGTTTGAAATTTGGAAAATTAGAAATAGTAAAATCTATAACCAATAAGTTCTGTATTCCTGTATAAGTACCAATGTAACCATTGTATATTATGTAAAAATTGTATAAATGTTGTTTCAATGTAAATAAATTAATTTAAAAAAAAAAAACTTGCTTCAAATTGACCAATTTTTTTTTCAAAATCGTCTACAAGTTATCTGAAGTTCAAATCTGTCTTAAGATTGTACTCAAAATATTATGAGCAACTAGGTTGTGACATTTTGTCATATTAATGCCTTGTATTTATCATACAAAATTCCTACATAAAATCACGAATGAAATGGCCAATGCATCTATAGTAGTTTATTTTGTGAAAATTGAAGTAGATGTCACAGTTAAAAAGCTAAATTAATGCTATATCTTTGTAAGATGTCATGCTTCGCCCAGTTCCCAAAATTATCCAATTGCACCCCGTGTCAGTTATTATGGGGCACTTTGACAATATAAACACTATATCTCAATCCAGGAATATTTATTGTAATGATAATTATCAATTATTCGCTGAGAAATGGCATGAAAAGCATGATATATATGAATATTTTCCCCACCAGAGATCTGTTAAATGGTTGGTATAACCTTGTTCATGTTCAAAACAAAATGTACTTTACTGAAAGTTAATCATGATATATGTCCAGTAAAAAACAACTAAGTAATATATTGGTGACCTTGGAAATTTTGGAGGTGAACCTCTAATATATATATTCTCACAGTTGCCAGGTTTTGCTAGGCCAAACATTGCTGTATCCCTTCCTTGATTAATTACTTTGGGCTGAGATAACCTTAGCTAACTTTATTACTTCTGGTCAGTGAAGTTAGTTATGTTTACAAGATCTCTACTTATACTGAAGAATGATATATTCTTAATCTCTTTTTTACTTTATAACAAAAATAATATAAGCTCTGCTTTATTTTCAAGCTCAGCCATCTATCCACAAATGATTTATTAAACCAGCTGATATTAATGAATTTGAAATGAAGACTGAAACCATATAATAGAACATCAGTATATTTCTACTGTTTACTTCATGTACTTCATACAATTAGACTAGTTGCCATGGAGATAAAGAAACTGTAAATCAAAGAAACTGTAAATCATTCTATCCTTGTAGCTGGAGTTCTTGTAGTGTTTTTTAACTACACGGGTGATCGCCTGAACTGTGCCATTGCCCTTGAGAAGGCAAGGGCTGAGGGCTTTAATGCAGAGCTGATGTTTGTTGGGGAGGACTGCGCATTGATGTCAACTGATAAGACAGCTGGGAAGAGGGGGTTATGTGGGGGGATACTTGCCTTAAAGGTACCCAAACAATTAATATAAGAAATATGATTCAGACACATGCACTGTATAAGACCATGGCAGCACTGAGCTTTAATTGAAGCATCTACTTTTTGGCCCAATGGGCAGCTTTTGCTAGGGGATTAGCTTTTAAAAAATTACAGAGGGGTTCAAATTTGACAATTTTGACCTAAACTCAGTTGAAAAGTGCTTAAAATGGTGAATGCTCAACACCCCCAACCTCCCCTTCTATGAGCTTGACATGTATCTGTTTAATGCTAGCTTCAGTTATAATTGATATCTGCTTTTACCCAAGTTCATACAGCAAGTCCATATTCAGACCATAGCTGTGAAGGGGAAAATGGGTGGAACCGGCTAAAAGTGTTTGAATGAAAAGGTGTACAGACTTCAAGGTTATTGCATCTACAAGATTCTGGATTTTGAAGAAATATAAATATCTCAATGAATATTAATATTTCTATTAACTAGCTTAGCATTCTAAAATCTGATTCAAATGAATTTAATCATGCTAGAAAGACCCATTATGATTGAGACCATTTTATGTTTTTTGATATCATAACAAATCTGTGTTGAATTGAAAATATTTGAGCAATTTTCTAAGAAATATGTGATATTTTGTGAAAAGTGTTCAGATTAGACAGGTTAATTTTTCAAATAGGAAGTGTTTAGATTTCAAGGTTTTTAACATGGGAGTCAATGCGAGGAAAAAATGGGAATGGAAAGAAGTGTTCAGATTGAAGGTGTTGGGTTTAGCCAGGTGTTCAGATATACAGATTTCATTGTTCTTTGGCCAGGAAACCCTTTTTTCTTGACACCATGGTTTTAAAATTTGTACTTGTCTCTCTATGTTTTTTTAAGTTGTGGGATTAAAGTCTTAAATTTGATGATTTTACATTAAAATGGTACAACATTTTTTATTCAGTTTGCCTTTGATGACTTTTTCAAAAAATATGCATCGATAATGTCCCATTTCAAAGTGACCAAGTGGGCCGAATCCTTTCTTGCTTGAACATTTTTGCTACCAGTTCCATAACAAGAAATATGAATCTAATGCTAACCCCATCTAGTAGCTTCAGTATATGTGCTTTTCTCATCTGATCCTGTGGTACCTTCTAACTAGGTTTAATTGCACCCTGCTTATCTATAGCTCTTTGATCCCCAATTTCATTATCACCCATCTATTCATTTCAATGGTCACCCTAAATTAATCGCCTGCACACATGATAGCATCATGCTTTACTTCTTTCAGCTGGGGTACTCCTCATAGTTAAAAGCTACACAGGGGATCGCTTAAATTTTGGTATAGCGGCAGAGAAGGCCATGAATGAAGGCATTCCAGTCAGTATCGTCGTGATTGGCGAGGATTGTGCGCTTATGTCAGATGATAAAACTGCTGGGAGGAGGGGTCTGTGTGGGACCCTCTTCATTCATAAGGTATGTGGGACCCTCTTCATTCATAAGGTATGTGGGGCTCACTTCATTCATAAGGTATGTGGGGCTCTCTTCATTCATAAGGTATGTGGGGCTCTCTTTATTCATAAGGTATGTGGAACCCTCTCATTCATAAGGTATGTGGGACCCTCTCATTCATAAGGTATGTGGGGCTCTCTTCATTCATAAGGTATGTGGGGCTCTCTTCATTTAGAAGGTATGTGGGACTCTCTTCATTCATAAGGTATCTGGGGCTCTCTTCATTCATAAGGTATGTGGGGCTCTCTTCATTCATAAGGTATGTGGGGCTCTCTTTATTCATAAGGTATGTGGAACCCTCTCATTCATAAGGTATGTGGGACCCTCTCATTCATAAGGTATGTGGGGCCCTCTTCATTCATAAGGTATGTGGGGCTCTCTTCATTCATAAGGTATGTGGGACCCTCTCATTCATAAGGTATGTGGGGCTCTCTTCATTCATAAGGTATGTGAGGCTCTCTTCATTCATAAGGTATGTGGAACCCTCTCATTCATAAGGTATGTGGGGCCCTCTTCATTCATAAGGTATGTGGGACCCTCTTTATTCATAAGGTATGTGGGGCTCTCTCCATTCATAAGGTATGTGGGGCCCTCTTCATTCACAAGGCATGTGGGGCCCTCTTCATTCATAAGGTATATGGGATCCTCTTCATTCATAAGGTATATGGGGCTTTGGGTAGCACCTCATATGTCTCCTTGGTCATGTTTATGCAACAGGGCAATCTAGTATGGTATATGAAACACAATAGATGATCAGTGATCTCCTCAATATTCAAGCAAGTGGGCGCTGCACCCACTTGAGATTTTAAAAATAGGCTTGCACCCACCTGAGATTCCATTTGCGCCCACTTGAAAATAAAAAAATCATGAAAAATAGGCATATTTTGACCGAAGGTCTAAATTGTGAAATCAAGAATTATGCATTCACTTGAGAAAAATAACTGAGGAGAACACTGATGATTATGAGTGATATCACTCCAATAGAAAGCCCCTCATCTTTTTGGCTCATTTTAGAATTATCAATAATCATCTTAGCTTTTCTACTAATCTAGTTGATTTTGGATTTACCTTTGATTACAAATATTCATTTCCATGTATCAATGAGACATATTTATTTTGTTGAATTAGCCTTTTTACCCTCTCTCCGTCTCTCCCTCCCCCCACACCCCATTATTTACTTCATTAACATTGCCAACACATATAGTATTTATCTTTAATTATAGATGTCTATAGCAGCTGAAACTAACATTTGACCATATATTTTTGGCTTACACACTTAGACTGTGGGATTGTCAAGGCATCCATCTGTTAATCTGCCTGTTCTTCAGTCTCTTTGTCAGTCTGCCTGTCAAGATTTCATAGCCGTATATTAGTATTAACAGAAATTACTGCATTTACTGATAGAATTTAGACCAAAAGTTGAACTTCATTTTTTCTTGTACAAAATTTATGTCGGTTTTTAACAGTTCTTTGAATGGTATACAAGTGCATTTGCTTTTTTCATGATTCTATAGTATATTGGCAATAAGTCTATTTTATTGTTATGTAAATATATTTTTGCTATAGGTTTATAAAGTTGCTTCATTCATGTATTCGTTTGCTCCAAGCATATATCATACTGCTCTATTGTACATTGTGTTTCTACCTCCAGATTGCAGGGGCTTTAGCAGAGGAAGGAAAAAGTTTAGAAGAAATCTTGGCCAGAACCCAGTCAGCGGCTAACTGCATGGGTAAGTGAGAATACATGCAATTATATTATTTTTATCCCTGAGACGAACCCTGAACCATAGAACCAAATCCATGAAGGATCAGATATTGTTCATTATTGTTGTATAGATATGGATGGTGTTTAGTAGTGTTTGTTGGGTGGTGTTCAGAGGTTGGTGTTTGTAAAAAATGGCAGGTGATGACATTATGCATGTTAATGTCTCTAACAATGTTCAGCTGTATTTCAACCTACTTAACCTACTATAATTAATATTTTGTATTTGTCTGCACAACAGGCACATTGGGAGTGTGCCTCTCTCCCTGCAGTGTCCCTGGCTCTGATGCCACTTTCCAGATAGGACTTGATGAGATGGAGGTTGGCCTTGGTCTGCATGGAGAAGCAGGTGTGAAGAGAATGAAGGTAAATATATTCTTCTCTGTCTTACTTAAAATTCTTGGAGTATCCAAAGTCCCCTGACCCTATTCAAATGCAATGACTGTTTTGTAACAAATAACTATGTGACAACTTTGGGCCAAAATCACTTGAAAAGTAATCAAAATTGTGAAAAACTGTATGATTTTGAACCCCCCCCCCTCCCGGCTCGTGCCTGAGAAGTGAATGCCACCGAACAAACTATACCAACTGGAGGTTTATTCATGTTGTCTAGTGTGTAATGATTCTGGGTATATCACCCCTGTTTTTGCACCATACTGTACTGTACATTGAATGGTACATGTATTATGTTGCAGCTTATGTCTGCTAAAGACACCATCAAAGTGATGATAGACCATATGACTAATACAAAAAGCAGCACCCATATCAATATCAAAAAAGGTAAATATGTAGTTACTATGTATTAAATAAATTTAAAAAAATGAAAAACCACTTTTAGCACTGAAAACTATGGCATTTTTAGATTATGAGCCACAATATGTAAAACAATGACAAGAGCATGTGTTTTCTTTAATCATCAGGTGATGTCTAGCTTTAAACTTTAACGTTATAAGCTTGTATTGTTTGTGGAGGATAGGTTAATAGACACATGGCTACTGATGATATAAATTAGAACAGGGGTTTGTTTGTTTGTTGCACTTTGATTCCTCTCTGCTTCCCCCCACCTTAGTGCCATTGTCCCTCCCCCGATCCCCTTTCCCTTCTCATTCCCCTCGTGGATTTTCAATATTTTTGCCATAGCATTTCCCCTCACTGCACATGAAGATTTCAGTTATATCTTAAAAATCCTGTGGCATATTCTCTTTAAACTGTATATGATATTTTAGGAGATAGGATAGCTCTAATGGTGAATAATCTGGGTGCCACTACAGTGCTGGAGATGAACATCTTAGTCAGAGAGGCAATATTGTTCTTGGGTAAGTTTCAACAGAGGAAAGTCCAACTCTTAATACGTATGAGGTATCAAACAATATGAGTTTCCTTCTGATCTGCTCATGTGATAACTCTTTAAACATGTTCAGGTATTATTGAAAGTTTGCAATCCATGGATTGAAGGAAATCAATCGAGAAATGACTCAAAAGAGAAATAATAAGGGAGTAGAGTGTACCTATTTAATAACCCTAATGGTCCAGAGGTCAGATCTTCAGAGTTAACATATATTATTGTATTAAATAAAACATGATAAATAAAAAAAAAATAAAAAAAATCTTCAGAGTAGGCTGTCCTATAAAGCAAATAACCTCTTAACATACTGCTCATCTTTTCTTATTTGACCCCTGACTTGACCCCTGTACACACAGGAATTAATTCTTTATTTCCACCTCCAGAAAGTAAAGGTGTGGTCGTGGAGAGAGCGTATTGTGGTTCATTTATTACATCATTGGAGATGTCAGGCATTTCACTCTCAGTGCTCCATTTAGATGACACCAGGCGAAGATGTTTAGGTAATTCTATATTCATATTTTTAAATGCTTAAGTGTGTAATTGTCATATTTTGCTCCGACTTTAAGATTATTGAATACATACTGTAAGATTCATGAACATTAGTGAACTAAGAAATGGACCTAATTTCTTTCCTCTCCTAATATGGGAAGAGATTTTTGAAAAAATAATTTTTGGCTCCCCATATTGATTTTCAGACACACCCCTGCTAAATGTGTCAAGTATTGAATTCTTCCCATCCAGAAACTGAGTCCTTTTTATTTCCGTGACAATGACCTGCTTCCAAATGATTTCCAATCCATTTCAACTTGTGCTATAATGTGTTTGTTTAGCTTCCAATATCTATTGTTTGAATATTGATGCAAATTACTTACCTTATAGCCACCAAGTTATTTTAGATCCTGAAGCCCACTGCTGGGTAAATAAAGGCAAAACTTAGTAAACAATTTAATTTTTTTTTAGCCCTAAATTTTCAATAAATCAAGTGACGTAAACTAATCAACATACTATTTGGTCTACTTATAGTCATGCATACTGTCCTCTTTGGTATTTATATTTAGAACTGAGCTAATTTATTGTAGATGCAAGTACAGAGGCCCCTGGGTGGCAGAAACCATATCTGCCCCAGGGGGTGAGTGAACGCACCACCCCTTTAGCCATAGACCTAGGAGAGGAGCCTGAAGTACATGTGGACAATGCTAATCTTAGAGGCATGGGAGTCACGCCAGGTGAGATAAAGATAAATGCCTTGTCATTTATCCAAATAAAAGTTATTTTTAAAGTCTAATTGGAAATTTCCAGCCAGACCTTAGCTCAGGACCATTGTGAACTCATTAAAATATTTCAGTGGAATCTAAAATCGAAATGAATATCTGGTACATGACGCGGCAGTTTGTAATACACCCTCAAAGGCTTCTAGGTGGAAATGTTAGATCAATGAATTATTTCTTATTGAAAGAGTGTAGACATGGCTCTCCTTTAGGGCCCTTTAAGGATATACAAAGGCAAAGTGAAAGTGTACCATGTCTTGTGTCTCCCAAGGGGGTTCACTTTTCCAAAATTTCTAGGGGGTCTACATTTAACAACTTTGGCCCAAAATCACTTGAAAGGTGATCAGAATTGTGTAAAACTGCAATATTTTGAAAGAAATTTTGGCAAAGAGGGAGGGGGCCGGGTGTGTGCGTGCACCTTCTAATCCCCCTGGCTATGGGCCTGATTATGTGATATGTTGCAGACACTTAACCAAGTTCTAATGTTTGGGCCATGAATACTTTCCTCTTCAGGTGACATGTCATACAAAGCTGCCATATATTTAGTTACAGTGGCTTAAAAGCTTATTGAAGAAACATCACTTTTATTCAAGAAATCTGAGTAGAGTGCAAATCCATATATTGATTATGTTGCTCCGGTTCGATGTCTATTTTATTAAGAGTTGTATCACATGTATTACACAAAGCACAAAGTCATTATGGACATAAATATTTGATGAGATATATTATCTGAGCTTTTCCAATTAAGCAAGAGAGGTGTGACCATTGATCTCACATACTTGTACTTGTTTGACTGTCTTAAGATCAATCAAATAAATGAAAACAATACACTAATAATTGGTAAAATTTGTTTTCAGTTCAAACCTATTTATTTTTGATTTACAATATTATCTAATTATTACTTTTTTATATTGAGTAAAATGAGAGCTCAATACATTTAGTACGACACCTTAAGTGTTATTGACTTATGTCTCTTTCATGTCTTGCTCATCATGTATCTCTCTCTCATCTTGTATCTCTCTCATCTTGTATTTCTCTTTTCACGTCTCTTTTCATGTCTATTACCCATCATGTCTCTCTCATCATGTCTCACTCGTCATGTCTCTCATCATGTATCTCATCATTTCTCTCTAGTTGTGTTTCTCATCAATGTATTTCTCTCATCATGTCTCTCTCTCATCACTAGATACATTCTTTTCAACATTTATTTGTCTGCTGTTAAATTTTTGGTAGAACGGAATCTGAGAAATATATGCTTGTCTGAACTGCTGATTCATGGACAAACAAATACAAATGTTTAATATACCATAGGCCCATATGAATATGCTGGTAAAACGGTGCCAAAAGGGATGGTTGATATCTTTATCTATGACAATCACCAACATAACTGGAGCATAACAGAATACAAAGGTCACCACTATGCTTACTGCCATCTTAGTTATTTTAAGCTCAGCACTAAACTTTTTGTTAAATCCTTTTTGCGACAATTTTGAGTCTGTTGATGGCTGTTGGTGTTTGTTCATGTTTTTCTGTTGTTGTTTGATCCTTATGAAAATGTTTGTGTATGAAATCACAAAAGCAGTGATTGGAAACCCAAAGGCAACAGCCATTGGAAATATATTGTAACCGTCTCCAATGTCAACAAATGTACATAAGTTTTTTCTGGGTTCATACCATAGTTTCCCCCATAGTCCTACAACAGGTGGGAGCATAGCGATTAAATCGACAATTAAGAAAATTGAAATCATGCAAATAATTCCTATTGGCTTGAAAATTGTCCGGCTTGTATTTGGATAACATATAAGTATGAATCGGTGTAATGACATCACAACTAGTGCCCCTAGCTCTATACCAATCACGCTTTGGTTTATAAATGGAAACATTAAACAAAATGTCTGTCCAAATATCCAACCCCTCGCAGAATCAACGGCTATCATAACTGGCAACCCAAATGCACAAAGGATTAAATCTGCTATTGATAGGTACGCAATTAAAAAGTATGTTACAGTGTGGAGTTTAGGGGTACGTACAATTGCCACAACTGCTAACGAGTTCAATAGTAGGCCTAGTATTAAGCACAAAGATCCTCCAATTTGAACAACTAGTGTTGCAGACAGAGGATACTCAATTGCAGCTCTAAACTCAGCCTCCATCTTAAAGATCGAGGATAAATATCTCTGTTTTTAATTTTCTGTTTGTGTCTTCATTCTATACATTAAATACATTTTAGCATCGTTTGTTATTGTTAAAGTAGGAATTTAGTCCTCACTTTTATTTCTTCTCAAATTCCTCACTTTTATGTCTTCATCGATTCTTCACATTTGTTTACTCACCAATTCCTCACTTTTATTTCCTCACTTTCATTTCCTCACAAAGTCCTTACTTTTGTTTCGTTATCAACTCCCCACATTTGTTAAATGGCCGATTCCTCACTTTTCTTTTCTCAATAATTCCTCACTTTCTCACTTATTCCTCACTTTGATTTCTTTTACTGTTTAGTTACTTTTTTTCTTCACCTATTCCTCACTTTGATTTCTTTAACTGGTTACTCACTTTTATCATAATGAAATCTAAAATCTAATTATCCTCCCCTTGTTCCTGTTGAAACACGATCTCTGTTGAAATCAATAAATATTTATTAGAGTCTTTATTAACAACTCGCTTAGTCTGCAGCGAATCAATCTTTCTTTCCTGTTTCGTGATTTTTTTTTTGCATTGTTTTTTCATTCCGTCGAATCTCATGTGCACTATTCTTATAAGATAATGATGGCAAAATATAAGACCTTTAAATCAGACACTTGCCCATGCACAATGTCACATGGTATTTATTCACCCAATCAGGCATTTACCTGTGCATAATGCTGTTTATTCTTCCAGTCATGCACATTCCTTTGCACAATATTTCATGGTGTTCATTATTTTACAGCAACATCGCAAAAAGAAAGGAATTAACATGAATTTAAATAATAAGCAATGAAAATTAAATGCAAGAAAATAATAACTAAACAACACATTACTGTTATTTCTTTTCATAAGAGAATTAACCGTGACTTAGAGAAAAACATTTGAAATTAATAAATAACTTTATTTCTATGGCTTTCAAATGTGAATGTTCTAAGTTGTTCTTCCAATCCATTAACTAGAGCAGAGGTGATCTGTTGATTATTAGTTGGCTTTGTGCCTTAAGTAGTCCCATTGTTCCTCATTTGATGTGAGAAATCCTATATGTTTGTCATGGAATCAAATATTTATGTAGGCAACTCATCTCATCTCATCTCCTGTGTCTTTCTATTGTCAACATGGCACTGTGACATGACAGAAAGGAGTGCTGTTTCAGAGTGTTCCTTTAATTGATTATTATCCCCCCTCTGTCATCTATTAAAGGGACATTGTCACAATGCTATTATATAATTAGTTTGATTATTTAAAAAGCTGTTGAAAATCATTGTGCTGTACTTTACCAAATGCCCAAATTACTTCTCTCAAAAATATAAAATCTAGAATTTTAGATCTGATTTTTATGGATTTGTTTCAAAGTAATGAAGAAGTCCCTTTTATCTGTTTCTTATAAAAAGCACGTACCACATCTATCATGTTGCAATATGACACCATCATATTGGATTTCTAGTGCATCATGAGAATGTATTATTAAAATGGTGCCATTAAAGTCGGGTCGGTTAACATTGTATACCAATTTATAAGTTAAGAAAACATTTTAAAAGCTGATCATTTGGTTTTTTTTTATATCTTGAAATCGGTTGATTGTGTAACATTTTTTGTTGCAGTTTTTTATGTGAAACTATAATCTAATGCTCTCATTGGTGTTATATTTTTTTTATGTGAAACCATAATCTAATGCTCTCATTGGTGTTATATTTTTTTTATGTGAAACCATAATCTAATGCTCTCATTGGTGTTATATTTTTTTTTTATGTGAAACCATAATCTAATGCTCTCATTGGTGTTATATTTTTTTATGTGAAACCATAATCTAATGCTCTCATTGGTGTTATATTTTTTTTATGTGAAACCATAATCTAATGCTCTCATTGGTGTTATATTTTTTTATGTGAAACCATAATCTAATGCTCTCATTTGTGTTATATTTTGTACCAGTTGTTTTTCTTATAATTCAGATGTGTTTATTTTGCCTAGCTGGTAGAGCACCTCCAACTCATTACCATAATTGAATTATTGATGCAATGATTTCATGTGTGTGTTTATGGATTGATTTTTCATTAGAAATGATTATCACAGTGAGCAATTAATTCCAGTTTATCTCAATGCGTTAATCTTGTGGAAAGTCTGATGATCCTAAAGTTAAACTAATGTGCTCTAATGTAAGAAATTATACATAAGTGCATCAAAGTGAAAATGAGTGATTGGTAAATATCCACCTTGTCAGTTTAAAAAATGACTTAATGTTAAATGAACCTCTATAAGTGGAACACCTCCAAAGTAGAGCACCTTTTATAGATACCAAAGATGTTCCACTAAGACAGATTTTACTGTAACTAGCAAAAGATGGAAGTACAAGGTCCCGATTAATTAATTAATTAATTAGAAATGAAACAGGAGACATTCCCTTTTGGAATTGTTATGTGTGGTTCCTTCATTCAGCTATTGTAAAAAGTATCGAGTTTTTTCAGAGAAAATTCAGTTACTGCACATACAATTCATTGAGATGTGTCTTTATTTCAAAGAACAGTCAGTTACTGAACAATGTATTGAGTCATGCCTTTATTTCAGAGAACAGTCGGTTACTGTACAATGTATTGAGTTATGTCTTTATTTCAGAGAACAGTCGGTTACTATACAATGTATTGAGTCATGTCTTTATTTCAGAGAACAGTCGATTACTATACAATGTATTGAGTCATGCCTTTATTTCAGAGAACAGTCGGTTACTATACAATGTATTGAGTTATGTCTTTATTTCAGAGAACAGTCAGTTGTTGTACAATGTATTGAGTCATGTCTTTATTTCAGAGAACAGTCAGTTGCTGTACAATGTATTGAGTTATGTCTTTATTTCAGAGAACAGTCAGTTGCTGTACAATGTATTGAGTTATGTCTTTATTTCAGAGAACAGTCAGTTGTTGTACAATGTATTGAGTCATGCCTTTATTTCAGAGAACAGCCGGTTACTATACAATGTATTGAGTCATGCCTTTATTTCAGAGAACAGTCGGTTACTGTACAATGTATTGAGTTATGTCTTTATTTCAGAGAACAGTCACTGACTCTAAAATGTATTGAGTTGTGTCTTTATTTCAAAGAACAGTCATTTACTGTACAATGTATTGAGTTATGTCTTTATTTCAGAGAACAGTCACTGACTCTAAAATGTATTGAGTCATGTCTTTATTTCAGAGAACAGTCAATGACTCTAAAATGTATTGAGTCATGCCTTTATTTCAGAGAACAGTCAGTTGTTGTACAATGTATTGAGTCATGTCTTTATTTCAGAGAACAGTCAGTTGCTGTACAATGTATTGAGTCATATCTTTATTTCAGAGAACAGTCACTGACTCTAAAATGTATTGAGTCATGCCTTTATTTCAGAGAACAGTCAGTTGCTGTACAATGTATTGAGTCATGTCTTTATTTCAGAGAACAGTCAGTTGCTGTACAATGTATTGAGTCATGTCTTTATTTCAGAGAACAGTCAGTTGTTGTACAATGTATTGAGTCATGTCTTTATTTCAGAGAACAGTCAGTTACTGTACAATGTATTGAGTCATGTCTTTATTTCAGAGAACAGTCAGTTGCTGTACAATGTATTGAGTCATATCTTTATTTCAGAGAACAGTCAGTTGTTGTACAATGTATTGAGTCATGTCTTTATTTCAGAGAACAGTCAGTTGCTGTACAATGTATTGAGTCATGTCTTTATTTCAGAGAACAGTCAGTTGCTGTACAATGTATTGAGTTATGTCTTTATTTCAGAGAACAATCAGTTACTGTTCAATGTATTGAGTCATGTCTTTATTTCAGAGAACAGTCAGTTGTTGTACAATGTATTGAGTCATATCTTTATTTCAGAGAACAGTCAGTTGTTGTACAATGTATTGAGTCATATCTTTATTTCAGAGAACAGTCAGTTGTTGTACAATGTATTGAGTCATATCTTTATTTCAGAGAACAGTCAGTTGTTGTACAATGTATTGAGTCATATCTTTATTTCAGAGAACAGTCAGTTGTTGTACAATGTATTGAGTCATGTCTTTATTTCAGAGAACAGTCAGTTGCTGTACAATGTATTGAGTCATGTCTTTATTTCAGAGAACAGTCAGTTACTGTACAATGTATTAAGTCATGTCTTTATTTCAGAGAACAGTCAGTTGCTGTACAATGTATTGAGTCATGTATTTATTTCAGAGAACAGTCGGTTACTATACAATGTATTGAGTCATGTCTTTATTTCAGAGAACAGTCAGTTACTATACAATGTATTGAGTCATGTCTTTATTTCAGAGAACAGTCAGTTACTATACAATGTATTGAGTCATGTCTTTATTTCAGAGAACAGTCAGTTGCTGTACAATGTATTGAGTCTTGTCTTTATTTCAGAGAACAGTCAGTTGCTGTACAATGTATTGAGTCATGTCTTTATTTCAGAGAACAGTCAGTTACTATACAATGTATTGAGTCATGTGTGTCAAGAGCTTGTGAGTAGCGAGAACCATTTGAATGTGTTGGACTCAAAATGTGGAGATGGGGATTGTGGCACCACTCTGAGGCGAGGCTCAGAGGCAATATTAAAGGTAAGAAATTCATGCATGTACTGTTATTATTGTAACTTCTTTCGCATTATTTTCCTGTAAAAGCACAAATGCATCAACATTATTACTTCCTTTGGTTCTTGATAAAATAGAGAAGTTATACTAATGATAGTTAAAGACAAATAGATCAGTGTATGAAGAAAGTGATGGGAAGGTTTGCACAAATGCATAACCTTTCTGGAGACTTAGCCAAATATGTTGTAAATTAAATCTTTTGTTTCGGTTTCTTATCCTCATGGATTTTTCAATCACACACTCTTGCTCATTGCAATAAAATGATGAATTGAACTTGTGTGTTGTTCCATTGCAGAGGTTGGGTCTCCCCGAGTCCCCCAGTCTACCAGTACATTACCCCCACAGTATGTTACTTGCTGTGGCACAGATTGTAGAGGAGGAGATGGGAGGATCATCAGGGGCAGTAAGTATGGAAACGTCATATATTATACATTGCCTAACTTTTAACGGGATTATTAGGTTCATGACCCCAATAAAAAGGGACCTGTGCATTGTGCAGTTGGTTCCTCTAGAGAGAGTTCCACTTGGGAGATGTTCTTATAGAGCTTCATTTAGCATTATGTCACTTAGTCTTGGGACTCTGAAAAGTGTTGCACTAACAGAAGTGTTCCACTTCTGAGTGTTCCACTTTACAGGTTTCACTGCACTATATACTTTATTCTGGTACATCCTATTCTTAAGTTGCAGTTTAAAAGACTATTCTCAACTTGCTATAACATATTAAAATTAATTTTATAATCCAGTGATTGTGTCAACCTGGAAAATTACAGTCTATTCTTAATTTTCTTGCTAAAATAACAAGCTATAAGGCTAGAAGATATGATAATGCAGTCTTCATATCCTGGATTAATCTAATACAGTTTATTCTTATTTTTACAGTTATACAGTCTTTTCTTTACTGCGGCAGCTAAACCTTTGACTACACACGTGACAAGCCAGGCTTGGGTGGATGCACTGCAGGCTGGCAATGATGCTATAACAAGGTAACCAGAATTAGATGATCATTCAGATATTCAAGTTTAGTTTAGTTTATTTTATTTATTTATTTATAGTGGTCAGTCTTACAATTTAATGTAGGATTTAAAGTTTTTGTTCAATCTGGAATTGTTTTGAAAACTCAAAATCGTTGGAGCACAGGATAACATTATTTTTAGAGCTAAAAGTTTCAAATAACAAAATGTTGGATTTATACAAAATGTTTAGAGTCAACCTGAGAAAGGTGTTTTAATACTTGTACCAGAAGAGAATAGATAACTAAATAGTAATTCAAACTTTTTGTTGTGACATACTTCGGGAGAAGTATCTATCCAGGCTAAATCTTTTTAAACCTATTTTAGGAAATCATATTTTTACCTGGCATAGGATAATTGGTATTTATCTAAAAATGACATCTTTCCTATGAGATGGTGTCAAACCCTACTGCAAGATATAATATCTTCTAAATCCAGGATATCATACATTTCCTTAATTCTAGGTATGGCAGGGCAGAGCCAGGGGACAGAAGTATGTTAGATCCTCTACATACTGCCCTCCAAGTACTTAAGGAAAACATTGCCAACCCTCGTGAAGCTATCCAGAAAGCAGCAGATGCTGCACAGGCCATGGCCCTGCATACAGCTGAGATGAAGCCTGTTGTAGGCAGGTCTAGTTATGGGCGAAAGGAGAACTGGAATCAACCAGACCCAGGGGCTGTGGCTGTTGGTATTTGGATGAATGCAATTAGCTCAGCAGTCAACAAATAATTTGTAAGTTTGTAAGTTAGGCGAACAGAGACAGATCCGTTATCCTCTTGACTACCTGGAGTGACGAGGTTTCTCGTCACCTCACAAATGACCTTGAAATACAGTGACAAGAAAATTTGTCACAAAAATTGTTCACTAAAATTGCTCTTATTTGAACAATTTTCATATAATTTACATAAAAATTGTTTTAAAATGTGTAGAAATGATCTCTGCCATCTAATTTTACTAAGTTGAGCATCTAAAGTTTTATAGGTATGTAGTAGAATGTCAAAAGGTGGAAAAAATGAAAAATTCTCTTGTTTCAACTGATTTTAGAGTCTTGGATTTAAGAGGTTAAAAGTCATGTTATCTTTGTTGAATGCAGAACCATCTCATTTCTACATTTTCCATTATTGCAAATAATTCAGGGCTTTATTAAGGAAAATGTAAGTACTCCAATACTTGGTTCAAATTATTTTATCATACTACTTCTATATACTTCATATTTCTTCTATTTTCAAGAAAGATAATTAACAAACAAAGTCTAATTTGTCAAATATTTACACTGTTTATTTCATTTCTATTTGAATTAATTTGTTTGCACATTTAAACAACATGGACAATTTTAGAATCAAGACATTTAAATAAATTCAGATGGGTATTAATAAAATGTAAACTAATACTACAAAAATTGTAAACATTACAGATCTTTTTCAGTTATAATGCAGGTCATTACTTTGTAAAATATTGAGCAAAATTGACAATATAATATCCCATATACAGTAATATGTACATGTATATACAAGGAACATGGAAACATGTGTAAAATCCATTACAGAAATCTATATTATAGTTATATACAGTCATATTAAGTCTTCAGTAATTTGATAATTGATTGTGCGTTTTAACTGTACTGTAATTAATTAGTACATGGTGATACAAAAATGCCACTGATTAATTTTGGAATAACTTTCTCAATGATAATCCTCATGATTTTTTTGTGGACAGTATTCAGTACATAAAAGTTTGTTGTATTTGCATAGCATCAACAGTTGTGGATGCTATGCAAGCATACCAATCTTTCTCCCACTGAGCACTATCTACACAAAAAATCATGAAGATTCCTCGATTATTGAGAAAGTTAACACACATTGATAAATTAATACTCTTATCAAAAAAATCAAAATGGCCATTAAGCATGCCCAAAACTTATAATCTTGGCACTATAATTTACTCCTGCAATTAATAATTGATTTTGCGTTTGAACTGGACTGTTATTTTTAAGTACCTTTTGGGTGATTGAACAAAAGAGAGAACAATGGATAATTGTAAACAAGAATACACTGTGATGACCAATGCACTATTTCTCAAAAAATCAAAACGCTTCCAAGCATGCCCATCACCTGATATCTTGGCACTAGTCTGCTCATGCATCTGTGATGGATTATTATATCCTTAATTAGAAGAAAAATTAGATACTGAAAATCAGCCCGTCAGCACAGATATGAACTTTCTCTTTACTAACAGGCTGATTTTTGGCACTTTGACAAAGTGTAATAAAAAATAAATCCAGTTGTCTAAAATACTACGTCTTTGTTTCAGCCATGAACATTGATTCCAAGCTGAATTACAGCAAAATTGGGAGATTTAGTCTTAAAACTCCTGAATGATGTCAGCATAAAAGTATAAATTTAAAACTTCAGAATGCCAGATTAATCCTTCTTGTCAGCCTTTCTCAAATAAGACTAGTTTCTCAATTTAACAACGAACTATGGTGAGATAGTAGAACAAGTGAAGCCAATGTGAGATACTCATTTACATGATAGATATTTCATTAGTTTCTAACTGCTTCTTTTTCTCCGTATTTTCCAGGATGTCTGAGATGGGATGTGCATATTTGGAATTCCAGTCACGTAGAAATATGTCCCGTAATTGGACTTGGACCATGTCAGCATTACTGTACCCTGATTGGTCAGTTTGGTTAATGATGTAACCTATTCCACCCGTACTGATAAAATAATCTCCCGACCAGTTAGATGTACCTAAAAAGATATGACGATCTTCATTTGGATATTATATATGCATAGAATATACTCATATAGTAGAGCAGTATGTAAACAGAGAACACCTATCTACATGTCGTAAGGACACATTTCTGGCACTGAATGCCCTCCTGTTCATTCCCATGTTAAGTGTGCAAATATGACTACTCAAACTCGTACCAGTTAGGAAGGTTTCACTGTACAGAAAGTCCTGCAATGACAAGACAATATGAAAAATATGGGCTTCCTATAGCGCATGAAAATTATCGGCAAAGATTGTGAGGTCAATAAATGGATACCAATATGAAATTCTGTTTTTAAAATATGATGAATTTCCCCAATTTGAATGTTTCCCATGAAGTGCATAATTTTTGTGACTCCCACACATGAACTTCAGGTTTTAATACTATTAATTGTTTATACATACAGTAGAATTTATATATCAGCTCCACTTCAATAAAAAAGAGAGAATGGTGGACACATTTGATTGATGTGAATTAAAAAGACAATAGTGCAATTTGATGTGCATGTTTGTCTCTATTTTCATTTAATAAAAAGAGGGAATTTATGCATAAGTACTTGGATTTTCATTTTCAGTTCAAAATGATATGAAAAAAAAATTAACTATGCACTTAATGAAAGAAATAACTTACTGGATGTCCTGTATTTTATTGTACAATGTATTTTATATAGAAATATACTTGATTTACATAGAAATCTACCTACCTATATAAGCTGTGTTATCTGTCACCATGTATTTATTGTGGTTCACTCTGGCAAATGGAATTTTACTTTGAGCCTTAGTAAATGCTGGCACAACAAAAAGTTTCTGAAACAAACCAACTTCAATAATAATACCACATAATCTATGCTGTGCATTTGAACTTTTTGGGTCGTTTTGATTTTGCTCACCTTCGTGCAAAAAAATGCATAGACACATATGATGACCCAGTCTGTTGGATCAGGCACATTTATATGCTGCCAGCCTGTAATTATTGTTATCAATGGGAGAAGATTTGGGGATACAAGAAAGACCTTGCAAAAGAAGAAGCAGTATCCAATCTGACCAAATTTTTATAAATGGCCATAATTATATTTCACTCACAACTAACTCAGAATCAACTAGGCATGATGCATAAATAAAACAAAGACAATCAAGATTGTATACACATGTAGATGTTATGAAGACTCTGATGCAGTTCACCAAAAATGTGAAAACTTCTAGTCTTAAATATTGTGGATCACGAGAGACAATGATTGACACCTTCAGGCTAGCTGCATCACTTACAAACTAAGTAAGACTCACTGTAGATATATTGGCACGAAGAGCTCCAGTGAGGTCCATAAGAGACTGCAAGTAATTAGGTAGGTCAGGTTCCGAATGACTCCAATGACTTGGCATCAAACGTACCTCGACACCTCTATCCATGCTGGCTTTGCGTAGAGCATCATCAATCACTGGCCAGAACCTTTAACAAGGAAAGACAACAATATTATATTAGCTACACTATTACTCAGAAAAGTGTAACAAAAACATCTGAAATTCTACAGGTTTTGTACTCCAAATAGTGTTGAACTTTCATGTTGTTGTGTTTACTTCTTAATAATGCCTTTTATAAAGTAAATATTAATGGCAGAATAGAAGACATCAAAAATGAATTGTAGAAAAAAATGTTCAATGTTGATGTCACATATACCAGGGGTGACCAATAAGTAACGGAAGCATTCCTTGTAATAATAACAAAATAATTGATCAAATAAAAGACGCTGTGTAAAAACCATACATTACTTCTTGATCACCCCTCGTATATTGCTACTGCATAATACTGTAGAGCAAAATGCATACCTTCTAGGGTTTGTGTACAATGTGGTGGGAAAGTAGTCCATGACTGCAATGTATATGAACTTCTGTGCCTTCCCTATTATGTCTAATATGGCATCTACATCCACTGTCCTTCCATTAGGGCAGAACTCTGGGGGAGAACTCTGAAAAACAATGTGAAATTATTTTCATACAACTCATCCAGAGTGCAATTAATTGACCATTTTCTATAGCGAAGGATTAATAGATGGCAGTGTGAGATCTGGTACATTACAAGTATACAGATGACAGAGAACTAGCAGAAAATCAATAGATTTTTTACTTTTTCAAATATTTCCATTTGGATTCACTTGAAACTCCATTGGCATGACTATTTGACCTTGTTGACATGTGAATTGTGTTTCAACATTAAAATTGTTACCCTCAAAAGAGTAAATGGGTATTTAAAGCTTTTTCAACATTCTGTCAATGGGGATATAGCCCGACATTTTTCAGAAACCTGAAAATCCTGAATAAAGGTAAATAACTGCCAAAGTTGTTTTGATAGAAAATAACACATAGAATTCAAATATGCAATCAAAAAGAAGAAAATGTTGGTATTTAGTGGTTAAAATGCAGACCTCCTAAAAATGAGATCTTCAGACGAGATTTCAAAGCTATATGGAAAAACCTCAATTGACATTTAAACTTACAGATAAATAAGTACTTGTTTCAATATTATTGATGTCCAGCTGTAGTGGTGTAACACTGTTATACTGTGTGCCCCAGTCTTTTGGCCAGGATGAAGGGATACTACTGCTAGGGGTCCCCATGTACCAGTAGACATCAAATATCTTCTGAATGTCGCCAGCAAGGCAGCTACAGTTGTAACTCACTGTGCCTAGTTCCTTTACCTAAAACACAAAAATAAATTTTAACCTCTTGAATTCCAGGCTCTGAAATCCTTTTGCAAATAGAGAATTTTTCATTTTCATTTTTGCCAGCTATTGACATTTAACTACATACATACACAACAGGTGATGGTTAATTTAGTAAAATTAGTTGGCAGAGATAATTTCTACACATTCTAAAACATATTTTGTGTAAATTGGATGAAAACTTTCAAATAAGAGCAATTTTAGTGAAAAATGTTGACAGATATCTCGTCACTCTGGGTTTCAAAGTTAGGGTGACGAGAAATCTTGTCACTTTGTGTAGTCAAAAGGTTAAAATATAGGCCTTTTAAGGAATTTTTCTGGACCAAATCTCATCTAACAAAAAACAATGAATAAGGTTTCGAAAAGTGAATTCATCATTACAGAGCAATTCAGATAAATTCAGGTAAAATTGCACACCTGAGTTAATGTTTCACTATAGATACGCACCTGGGTGAGAGATCTCCAATCCATATTGGCACTCCCCACATAGAAGTGCTGGCCATCCACAATCCATAGCTTGGTGTGCAGAATACCACTCCCAAGAAATCGGTCAAAGTCTAGTGTCCTAACTTCGGCACCTACATGTGTGACATATTATAAGTTACACTTGGTATTTCTCCTTTCTATATGGAGACTGTTGGGATACAAATGTCAATGCTGCTATTAAGGGCTACAGGCTGGTGATTCTGGTGAACATTTCAAAATTATCTGACTTAAATGTCAAACAAGGGATTAACATGCAAAATGGACCTTTCCGCCATTTGTTACAGATGGCAAACACCAACCCCTTGGCCCCTCCTTCAGCAGTTGTCATAGATATAATGATGTCATCACAAAAGAATAATGGACTTTGAATCCTCCCAGAATGATAGTCACGTGAGCATCAATGTTAGCTTACCTGCCTCAGCCAGAATCTCAGAGTCCTTGGCTGGTTGTCCTTTCTGAGGTTTGTTCTGGGCTATCCTCACTTTAATCCCCCTTTGGCTAACTGCATTAAGTAGCTCATTGAATATGTCTTCACCCTATATAAAAGATAAAAGAAACATTTTCGAGTTCAAAATTAACAAAGGAGTACATGTACACTATAAATGTTAACATTGTTTGGACTCTCCACAGATTTACACTTTCCATTGACACACACTGTATATATACAAAAATACCATTTGGTATATTTCAGTTTATTATTCATGTACACTGTAATTTATTCATATTTTCATTTTAATAAATCATTATTTTAAACCAGGCCTTTTATTTCGTAGATGCTCAAATAAGTAAAATTACTTGAACATATTTAAATCAAAATATTTTAATTTTAAACCCCCGTCCCCATTTCACCCCTTCTGCTATCAGCTAGTCACCCTGAATTGGTAGTTGACTGGGTGACAAGGGGTAAGAGAAACTAATCATACCTGCCAAGCACTAGGGTCTTCATAGATGTCCACCCCTCTCAGGGTCCAATAGAACACCCCAAGGTCAATACTATGCCTGGCTGATTGTATTAGACTCTTCCACCCTGAGAACGTTGAGGGGTGGGAAGGTGATCCAGGAGCATATGTGAGATTCTGTGGAATGCTTTCGACTAAAGTTACTCTGAAAATAAAGATTCAAACAAAAAACACTATAAAAATGTAATATTTTAATTCAGACAATGGCTTATCAACATGCTAATAGGTCATACTCCTTATTAAGAGAATGGCATTCATCAATACCATCCAGAGGATCGATTTACAAGAAACGTTAAAGTAAATCTGATTAGCTATTTTATGAGTATTGTGATGACAAGAAAGAATGCAAGATTAAAGAAAAGTTGAGAATAGCCACCCAGTACCCGAAACGTAATCTGATTTCTTTCTGCAACTCTGCTTTTGCATAGGTAAACATTTCAAATTAAATAAATGATAAAAGTTTCGGGTTATCTTTATGACCAGAATCATTGTGCTACAAAACTGTATATCAGATACTCTAAATAGACAAGTCACATGCATGAATAAACATGACACATACATGAATGTCTCCATTTTAATGAAAAATGCCTCTAAATATAGACAAGTTCAATATACCTGCACTGGTCCTTGCATTTTTGGTGATTTCTATGATCTGAATCCATCACAAAATGTGACTGAGATTTCCCTCTTTCCAGATTTCTAGCCGCCAGGCCTCGTTCTAAGAGTGGAATCACTATAACAGGCAGGGTCAACAGGAGCAGAACACACACAGCAATGTATCCTGCAGTTTTGTTACATCTGTCTTGCTTATTGGGAGATCTGATTTTTCTCTTGCCTGATAAAAGTTCTTGCATGTCAATGTGTCTATGTTGTTGTAGGTCCATAAAAAGATCAGGCATCATTGAAGTATTTGGGTCCACTTCACAATATTCTGGTGGCTGGAAGAATACATGGCAGATATCAGAATTATAGATAGAGCTGTAATAAGTTATTATATACAGCAAAACCTGTCTTTAAGTTAGTGAACACCTGTCTCTAGTGGACACCCTTCCTCCGCACATACTCTATGGCTACTTTATGAATTACCATGATTTCTGTAGTGAACACCTATCAACACTGAATGTTTTTTCTCAGCAAAAAAGTGTTCAATATACAAAGGCTTTACTGTGCATGTAATCATATTATGTGGTTCATTATGTGGTTCTAAGATTCAGGATTAGTCCAGTTGAATTTATTCATTAAATGAATGTATCTCACAGAATGAATTTATGTTTTTGATTAAAGGGATGAATATTTTTCTTTTATCTTGATTACAATATTAATTTTGGCAACTGTATGCAAGTATAGCACTTTCAATGGTTTTATATTTCATTATTGTGTTATTCTGCAGTTCCTCGTAAATCACTATTTAAAGACCATCATTGAGTTATTATAGATCACTATATTAAAGACCATCATTGAGTTATTATAGATCACTATATTAATGACCATCATTGACTCAAGTTATAATAGATCACTATTTAAAGACCATCATTGAGTTGTAATAGATCACTATTTTAAAGACCATCATTGAGTTATAATAGATCACTATTTAAAGACCATCATTGAGTTGTAATAGATCACTATTTTAAAGACCATCATTGAGTTATAATAGATCACTATATAAAGACCGTCATTGAGTTATTATAGATCACTATTTTAAAGACCATCATTGAGTTATAATAGATCACTATTTTAAAGACCATCATTGAGTTGTAATAGATCACTATATTAAAGACCATCATTGAGTTATTATAGATCACTATATTAAAGACCATCATTGACTCAAGTTATAATAGATCACTATTTTAAAGACCATCATTGCGTTATTATAGATCACTATTTTAAAGACCATCATTGAGTTATAATAGATCACTATTTCAAAGACCATCATTGAGTTATAATAGATCACTATTTTAAAGACCATCATTGAGTTATAATAGATCACTATTTTAATTTAAAGACCATCATTGAGTTATTATAGATCACTATATTAAAGACCATCATTGAGTTATAATAGATCACTATTTTAAAGACCATCATTGAATTATTATAGATCACTATTTTAAAGACCATCATTGAGTTATTATAGATCACTATTTTAAAGACCATCATTGAGTTATTATAGATCACTATTTTAAAGACCATCATTGAGTTATTATAGATCACTATTTCAAAGACCATCATTGAGTTATTGTAGATCACTTTTTAAAGACCATCATTAAGACTTTATGTGACTATACAAGGTTAAGGTTTTAACCCTATAAAGTCTCATGCAACTACTACAACTGGGCCGTAGAAGCAACTTGCTATCAAGGGTCGTTACAAACCCTTCCAGAATGTGGTTTGGAATTAGATAAAGCCAACATATATACACGTACTCCCAGAGACTGACTTGTTGATTATAAGTTCTGGAACAGATAGAGAGTCCGAAAAGATCCAACCCCCTCTGAGTTATACTCCCCTGGCCTTTATTATAGACCTTATAGATCTAACTCTAAGTCTGATATTTATGCACCAAGAACACAGATGACCCCCCCCCCTTCCCATGGTCTGTGTAGCAAGGAACGCATGTACTCAGAGAGTGGGGACGGTTGTTATTATTTTTACGAAGGCCCCCCACGAAGTGGGCGGAGCCATTCGTTCTATGGACCGACTGTCGACCAGTCACGTGACCAAAAGTCCGCCATTATCACCTTATATGGCAAATCATCAAAGCAACAATCACGACGTCATATGATGTGTTTGTGATGAAGATATGACGTAATATAACATAAACTATGACATCAGTTACTTATTGCCCTATCAACTAAACAGACAAGAAAGCTAAACGTCACACATCACAGTGTTTATTATATTTTAATTTGTGACGTCATTAACATGTTACCTAGCCAACAGAAAACAAGCAGTAAAATGTAGTTTGTTCATATTGTCTTTCTCTGTGGTATTTCCATAAAAAGTGGATCAGTTTTGTCAAAATACATGTAGCATTATGGCCTTCGTATTTTTCTAGTGTCATTTTCACTTGATTTTCTTGTTGGGACAACTGTAATATATGTTCCGGTGCCTGTGATCACATTTGATAGCTAACAAAATCCACAGGAAGTTGTAGGCCTATTATTAAGTCCTTTTTGGGCCCTAACGGCCTTCTGCCCTCCCCCAATCTCACACAACAGACGAATCTATTATAATAGATTCGTCTGTTGTGTGAGATTGGGTAGGGCAGAAGGCCGCTAGGGCCCAAAAAGGACTTAATACAACTTCCTGTGACAAAATCAAACAAATGACTTACACTTTCCATGTTTCCTGCTTTGTTTGGAATAATTTTACACTAGACTAATTGTATGAACGATCAAGAATTGATTATTATCCAATATCTCATAAATGTTCGAACGTATCAAATGGCCCTTCGTTTATTTCAGCCTTTAGCAGTTTAGTGATCGTGTGCATGACAGCTAGTAAACTCGTTTTGATATCTTTTTGTTTACGTCAAACTGAAAATGTAAAGACATTATATATTGAATCAACTCTTGTTCGTATTTTTGACGCAGGTCTAAAATATCTGTCTGGCGTGTCACAATGGCTGCGCTCTTTAAATTCACACGCACGCCGGTTTTTGTGAAATATCTACACAATTACAAGTACATACATGCTAATACTGTGAAATCAGCTAGACAAATAAAATTAAAACAAAATGATAGTAGGATAACGACTAGTTTCTCCAAAAGGTAAGAGTAATAATTTGCTTTTAGTTTTTCTGAGAATTTTTTTCATAATTTTCAAGGTTCAACTTGAACTTACTTTTGCCCACTAAAATCTTAACACGTAAGCCCTAGACTCTTATTTCTATGCGGCCCTAAAGCTCGGCGACAGCAATATTGTGCCACATTCAAAAATAATATGGTGTTATGTCATTTTCAAATTTACTTAAAGTGGGGGACAAAAATAAAACTCAATGTTCACAAGTTGTCACAATGAGCTAATTTCCAAGTTTCGTGTCTCAAACTCTCCCAAGCGGTAGAAAAATAATTCCCGTTCACTAAAATAGCACAATAAATGAATCCAAAGCTTCATACCTGCAAATAATGGATAAATCCCTACCAAATCGAATGAATGTTTTCATGAATCGCCATGTTTGTTATCCAAGGACGGTTGACTCCCAGAATGCAACATCAGTTACCGTATTTACTCATGACAGGTTTCAAAATGGCGGAACAGCATTTTGAAAGCTGGCACGTGTCATGTTGCATTCTGGGAGCCAATCCTCCATTCCGGCGCAATCGGGCGACAAAATCACCTCAACATTTGAAGAGTCGGCATAACATGTGAATATCCACTTCATTTTTTGAAGTTCTTATTTGTCATTAGGGACACAAATTCCACTATATTTGGACTTACTCAGACGGAGAAAATAGAGCACTGAATACACTGAGGTAAGAATTTATTACATGTGCGACAGCATGTAATTTTCATAGCTTTTGCAATTCTTTATGATCCCCACTGTACATCATATTGTTGTTTTTGTGTTGCATAAGCTGCTATTTCCCAGAGTTGGCCAAGTGTTACTCTACCGAGCTGACAGAAGTCAGCTCTGAGAAGCTGGATTGAAAATTCTTGAAGCGAAAAAATCGAGCCCATTTTGACTAAACGCTGTGCTGAGTAGCGTTTATAATACCCTATATATTTGAATCAATACATAATTTATTTGTTGTTACCCTATTTTGTTCCTTCAACAGTCTGTAGTTGTCGTAAATCAATGTTCTATTAGACAGCAAAACTTTTGAAATTAGATTGCAGCCATTTTAAGGTCTTGCGAGATCTTGTGACTTTCGAAAGTAAAGATTTGCTACAAAATAACTTGCGTTAGCTAAATATGAATAGTCATGTGATCTTTTAACGACAATGCCCATACGCATGTAAAATCAAATGCAAAAAAATAAAAATGGTGTGCGTGAGATTTGATATTACTCCATTTTAACTGCAAACTACACAATGAATAGGACTTATTGTCACCAGAAGTCATGAAAAAGGCAAATTACATTCAATTATCTTCCTAAATACTGTTACTTATCCCAGCATGCCGGCTGGAAGTTGGAAAAAACCACTACACAAAACGGTATATTTGAACTTACCCTCAGCTGGCTTTTGTTCAGTAAGCCAAGGGGAAGTTGGGGGATCACCTTGAACTACATGTAGCCCTGCAATAGGTCTGTGTTATAAAGGGATGTACAGATTTATGTCTTATTGCACTAATTTTATTTTATAGAGTATAGGGAAGCAATATATCGTCCATTTTGGACAAAGGAAGCCCTGCATTGAGTATCCAACAGTTACCTACATGGACAACATTGCCTCTCTGTCCTTTAGTTGAACTTTGATAGCCCATAATAAGCTATTATTAGGAAACACACTTTTTGGTCAGGACTCACTTTTTTAATTTTTTTGGGACATCTTCTGAGCTTAATGCAAGCTCTGATTTTCTTACTGCTCTTTTGGAGAGGGTAGACTCTTCCTGTTTAAGGCTGTTCCATTATTACATTTCTGTAATTTAACTTTTTGCTACTTACTTATGTTCTGTAGTATCTATGATTGTGCTTTTGTAGATATTGCAGCAGCAACCTTGATACTGCCCCTAGATATGCCAGAAATGCAAAGACCTACCCCTCGAAGGAGGCAGACGGAAAACTATCAAACCTCGACCGCATTGTTCGTAGAACTGGCCGAGTCTCAAGTATAGATGTGTCAGAAATAATTGGCTTGCTCAAACACCATGGTAAGATATTGACTTTAAATGCTCAAAAAGTCATTCCTGAAGCCAGTTAAGTAGTTCATATAGAGAGATGATTTTTATATTTTCAAAAAAGTAATAAAAACTCAGTTTTAGGTCCAACAATACATATACGGTAGTGTTATTCTTGTTAAATTTTAAGATGCCTGCTACTTTGTTAAAAGTACCTTCCCTTGTAAGCCAAGTATTTTACAAATTGTCCATCCTTACATGGATATTTGAAAACATGGATAACCCTTATATTGTAGGCAATGCTACCAGTGAACAGGCTCTGTTATTACTGCGGTGTATGGGCTCTAAGATGCCTGAGTTGACGGGTGAGGCACGTACGCAACAGTTGAACACAATGTGGCAGTTCTTTAAAGAACAAGGTAATGTTTGATCACAGAAGTCACGCCCAGTGATTGGAAAACGGGATGGATGGGGGAGTAGGCGATTTCTGCAAGAAAATTCAACAAATCTGGAATATATATTTTTTAAGACAAAGTTTTAATTGCTAAAATAATGTGCATTTGTTCATTGAAGCAATTCAATAGTAATCATTCTCTTGAAAAAATGAATTCTCCAGATCTGTTGAATTTTCTAGTAGAAATTGGCTGCACACCCCCTGTCATGTTTTTCCGATCACTGGGCGTGGTCGTGATTTGGACTTTTAGGCAAAGTAACATGCATACTACTCTTTTTTGTTCAGGAATTTCATCAAAATTACTGAGACAGGTTAAAATAATGGAAACAAAACACAAACGTTATTCCTCATGTGATTTGATAAAAACAACTGGAGAGATTCTCCTTTAGTCTAATCAGCTATCAAAGCATTCCATCCAAAAAATTGATAATATTCAGTCAATACACATGTGAATTGATACATTTCAGGAGTTAAAATGACAACTGCTCACTACAACTCGCTGATGGCCATGTATAACCAGAATGGTCATCTGTTCAAGCCTGACACCTTACTGGCTGAACTTGAAGAGTCAGGTCTGAAGGCAAATAGAGTTACATATCTACGTCTAGTTGAGCGATTCGCTGAGGAAGGAGACATACAGGGAGCCATGTAAGCGTAAAAACTACATACTGTATGTTTTTCACTTTTTTGTGGATGGCAGTTGGTGTTTGGCAGTTGGTGTTCAGCGTTTGGCAGTTGGTGTCTGTAATAAATTCTTGGTACCTTTAACAAAGTCTTGCAGCATCTATAACAAATCGCAGGTGGTGACACACATATTTAAATTAGAAAACACAATGATGTTCATTACCTTTTTATCTGTAAATACTTTCAGGAACATACTTGAGTTGATGAAGAAGGAAGATATGCCAATAGGAGAACCTGTCTTCAATGCACTCATCACTGCACACTTCAAGGCTGGGTATGTATACATGTTTATTCCATACTTGGACTTCTTTTTTTTCTGGCTTCTATATCCCATTTATTTCATTTATACACAATATACATAATATTATATTAAAGTAGAAAAACCTGTGTCGGAAAAAGATAAAATAAATTTCCATACTTGGACTTGTTACAGGTACATAAAGCAGGTTTGTAAAAACCTATATTTTCACCACCGGGTAGATATAGAGATTATCCTATATGAGGTTCAGGATATTGGGATTATCCCGAGGCCAATATAATATATCTGCCCAAGGGATATATATACGCAGATATACATCTATGGTGTAACAATTTAATATAGGTCCATAGAAATAGTGTTTACCAGAATGAAATCTTTCATAGTTTTATAATTCTCTTCACTTCAGGGACATTGATGGAGCAGAAAATACTTTTAAGATGATGTCAGAGTCTGGAGTAGAGCCCGGCGCTGACACCTTTTCTGCCTTGTTACTTGGCAATGCATCTAATAACAACATAGATGCAATTAAAGAAACATTTGCAGCGGCAGAGCAGAGTGAAGTTACCTTATATGGACGTGTCTATATGGATGTGATAATACGGTTGACAGAAGTTGGACACCCAGAGCATGTACAAACTGTGAGTAGATTTAGATTACTTTTCTGATCAAGTGGTTACATATTGTTATAGTCTCCAACTCTTTTGTTGATGGTGTTCGGCTTCTGGCGGTCAGCGTTTGGAATTTGGCATCTGTAAAAAATAGAAGGTGGTGACATTTTGCATGTTAATGCCTTGTGAAACATTGTTATTGAGATGAGACTTAACTGTGAAATTGGAGGCATGTTGACGATGAATTGTCCAAAAAGTGGAATACATTATTGTTATACTATTAAAAATGTAAACATCTTAATATCTTACGTCACCACCACATATCACCACATATGACATATCGACGTCTCCAACTTTTTTGTGGACAGTGTTAGGCTGTTGGCATTGGTGTTTGGCAGTTGGTGTTCAACATTCATCATTCAGCATCTGTAACAAATGGCAGGTGATTTTTGCATGTTAATGCCTCATCGAAACTGCTTTGAGTAGTTTATTGTGTGTTTTTTTAGATTATAGATCTAGTGAACAAATCAGTGGGATACAACCATGATGTCATCAGTGCCATTCTACAACTTGTTGCCAAGGGATATTATGATGTTGCCTTTGAGGTGTACAAGACTATGGGGGAGGACACTCTTAACACCAGAGATCTGGCTGTGGGAGCATTCTTCCTCAAAGCTCTTTGCAGAAATAATGCTGTAAGTCGAGATATCTTGAAAGAGTGGACTATTCATATATTTTCATCAATAAACAACACAGTATTTTACCTGTAGATTGTATTTTGTTACTGCTGCGCCTGTGCTATATATTGCCATGCATATATTGTATCTTACACTTTATATGTTAAATGATGTTAATTGCCTTAATACAGCCTGTAGAGCGGATGATTGAATTCCTACCAGAGATGTACAGGAACAAGACTATGGAGCAAGGCCTTCTGGATGGCTTGTTCTGGTATCTCAATGCAAAGAACATAGGTATGATCACATTTTTAATACATATGTTTCTAGTTCTCACAAAGCTCAATGTATCTAAAATCAGTAACATATTCACCAGATTTTTGTGTAGCAATTCACTTAGAATGAGATTCGGTTGTGGATACATTTTAGCTATCAACTGTTGTGTGAAACCTCTATAATAACATGAAATTATACAGTTCCCCTACTACCTCCATAATAATAGCATTGAAGAGCTGTACTGATGATTTGTGAGTCCTCCTGTAGCAGCTTATTGTCCTTTTAGATAAAGATGTCTTATAACAATGACTATGATTATGTATAACTCAAAAGTTTTTAAAAATAGTTATTATTGTATGCTTGAAATACTGTATATGCTGCTTTAAATCATTTCAAATATGTACAGGAGGCACTAATTTGTTTAATGAACTACATGTGTATTGAGATGATTAGTCTTGCTTCAAGGCTTTAGGTGAGGTACAGGGTGGTAAAAAAGTGAACCCTTGCTACTAGCTAGGAGCTATATCTCCTGTATTACCCGCAACCCACATTAATGGGCTTATATTCTCACATATTTTAGTGAATGGTCTAAAGTTTTTGTGGGTACCATAAATGTCACCCAGTCTTAAATCTTGCAGAAGTTATGTGGCATCAACAGACATGCCCGGTTAATGGATGATGTGCTCAATCCGTGTTCCTCGGTTCTTGATAACTGCTGCAACGTGAATGTTAAAGTTGTTCACTGCTCTATCCTCAATATCTATGAATGGGGAACTGATGCTATTATATCTGAATTTATAACGACATCATTACAAGAGTGCAAGAATGTGAACGTAATGATGAATGAACTCATATTCTGTTTCAGAGAAAGCACGAGAGATGATGGACATTATTGAGAAGAAGGTAATAGTTATATTAATTATTCCATATACAGTTAAACCTGTGTACATTGAACATTTTGTGCCAAGAATATTTAAAAAAAGTCCTCTCATAATGTCCTGTATTTCCTTATGTCACCACCAGATTTGTAACAAGTGGTAAGTTGTGACATTTTCCATGTTAATGCCTTATTTTTATCTGTTAAATGTGATGATCTTTTACAGGGTATAGAGATTCGAGAACATTACTTGTGGCCCATATACAAGACTTTAGAGAAGGGAAATGATGCAAAGGGTATGATTCCTAAAGTAATATTCAAAAATCGGAGGTTACTAGCAAACTCAATAACATGATTGTTTGACTTCGTACATGTGACTTTCGGTAAATAAATGTATATTCACATTCAGCATGAACAATTTTAAATGCAATTTCAAATGCCAATGCAATTTCAAAGACATTTGGAATCATTTTAGACCCAATAATTTTCTATAAACTTTAACATGATCCAACATGCCTTTTAAAAATTATCAAACTCCACTTGACAATGTGTTTTTTATGTTTAGGGATTTATGACTTGTTTACTTGGAGTATGAAGCACGTGGAGCATAAGGAGATGATTATCACACTGCAGGAGTATGTCATTCCAGCACTGACGAATATTGGAGAGACAATTCGTGAAATTCAAGACAAACTGGTAATTTACTATAAAATGCATATTTAATTGTGATCAGAGGCCCGTATTCACAATTTTCTGAAAAAAAGATAATTTGATAATTAGTATCAGCTAGAAAAAAGTACTATATCTGTGAAAAAATCTGTAGTTTTCTAAAACATGGTTCATTGGTCCACATCAGGATGAAACTTACTGGAGTAATGGATGTCCAATATCTTGCTATTTGTAAACAACTTTAAAGAAATGAGGTGGATGAGCATTTCTTTATACATTGTAGTTTATAAGCTTTATGAGTTTGCATGTCGAAATGTTCAGAATAGAAATTTTACTTGGTTTAGCTGAAATCAAAGGTTTATCGATATGTAATGAATTTTGTCCACCATTTTGGATGAGCTATACTCTGAGCTATGACTTTGTCTCTTCCAATGGTGAGTGAGTAGCAAAGGTTAATGTATTGTATTGAAACATTTGTTCTCCAGCCCGTGCAGATAGGATCTGGTATAGTGAAGGGTGTCATGGTGATAGATGCTATAAAAATGAACGACTTCAAGAAAGCTGTAGAAATAGGTAAGATTTTCTGTCTCAATATCCTCTTTTAAAACTTCAGAAAAAATATATTCAGGTCAAATATGGCCAGTTAGAAAATCTTGATAACTAAACTGTTTTTATATCCTTGAAAATATGAGTGATTTTGTTAAGCATTGCAGAGTGCCCTGTATATATAAAATAAAACAATATGTTGTAGGTGCCGATACATCTTCCCCTACAGCACTCCTGTCAGCTGCCTTGAGGCCATACTTTGTCCAAGCTTACAAGACCAACCCAGACTTGGACTCTGTCCTTGAGGTAGCTATGATTCTTAAAATAATAGGTTTAGATCCTAGTTACTCTTTGTTATAAGACTTGGTGAAGCTGTCACTTACACTGTTCAACGTTGAACAATCCCGATTAAATGAAAAGGAATTGTTTTATGGTACATGGTTTTAAATAAGCATCCAATGATTTTATTTTCATTAAATGCTTTAATTGTAACTTAGAGAAAATAAGATGAAGATTGATCAGTAACAAATCAAGACATAAGAGCTTCTTAAACCTAATGAAAAATAAGCCATTTCAATAAGTCATAAATTAACTTTTCAGTTACTCAACATAAGCAAGAATTGGCCAAATCCCAAACAAAACGGCCACATATTCCTTTGTGGAGACTTCTTGAAGACGATAGTGTACATGAGTGATACAGACACGATCCACAAGGTGGTCAGATGGTATGCTGATCATAACCTGAAGGTCTTCAGGGGGGACCTGGGTAATGTGAAGAGTTCAGATAAAGTCACTGATGACATTTTAGAGGTAAGCATGTACATTAAGAGGATTCATGTTCAAACTCCATTACTAAATAGTAAACATCTTCATGAGAGATATTATTTTGATATTTAATGTTCATCACTATTCAATGTTTTATTCAAACCAGTTCATGCTGTGTCAGGTTTACCCTATTATGCTCTTAACTCAATTTTGTTAGGATGTATCTGACTTGGATTTTGTCTAGTCAGTTTAGTTCAGAACAATATGACAGAAGATGGCTAGATGCATGTGACATTTTACAATTATGAAATTGATTAATTTAGACTATTTTTACCACTCATGGGCCTCACTAAATCTTGTACCATGACTATAGTCCCGGCAACAGATGAAGCCTTACATAACATAACAATAATATTTTAGTAGTTTGAAAGTTTATCTGATGAATGTGAGTTCACTACAGTCATTATGTTTTCTAATTATGGGTGCAAATAATATTAATTTTGGTCATATTATCTGGGTAGTTTTGACAAGCAAATAGTTAGCAAGATGGCATAATGTTTTGTAAAATTTGAATACTAGGACGATCAGTGAAGTAGAACATGTTAGTTATATATTACAACATGAACTAAACATAAAAGTGCCTTAATTGTAGGTTCTACCATCAATAGATGCTGGCGCCCTAGATGAATATGCCTATCAATTTCCACAAGGAACCCAGAATAGAAAAAACATACTCTATCACCAGAAGACTGCCAGTGAGCTAGAAATCCTTCGTGACGACCCTGAAGCGAATCAAATCTCTGTCAGGAAATATCTCTTTATTCATTACACCAAGGAAGGGGTAAGCTGAGATAGTCGAATATATTGCTCATTTCATCAGTTAATGCACAGATTCTAGGACATAAGTCAACCACGTTTCAAGTATCAACTAATTTGTCTCTGTCATATTTGTGGCATGTTTTAATCAACTCAATTTGAATGAGTCCATGCTCTCTACACTGTTTAAGGGAAAAGTGTCTGCAGAATTTCAAAATGGCTGCCAATTTTATTGTTGAATAATCACTTTTTTGGTTTAAGCCCACTTGTACATATCATTCATTACAGAAAGTCAAAGAAGCAATGGGATTAGTGAAGGAGTTTGAGGAAACTGGGTTTGTAATGAATGGGGAGATGCACAGACAGATGGCTTTCATGGCAGCCAATTTCATGAATGATCCACAGCTGGCACGTAAACACAATGACATGTTGTAAGTACTGAAGTTGTATCAGTTATAACTTTGCATAACAACACTTAAATCTTCTCATCATGTACTCAGATCTTCCAAAATGCAATGCTTTTACATCCACGATGATTACTTTGGATTCATCTTTTTCAACTAAAATTTTGTTTCTTTATTTCTTCAGGTACTCAGATTTTCCAGATTACAACGTTTTTACATCCATGACGATATCTTTGGCAAAATGCTTTGTGAAGAATGATCTCGTCCAAGGTAGGTAGAAGCAAACATGTCAAACAATCAAACAAGCTGTATTAATTATAGAGTAATCAATCCTCAAGTTTGAGGTGGAACATTTCTATTGAAGGAGGGCTGAAACTGGAAGATATTTTCATTTCCTATCTAAGAATGTTGATGTTATTGAGACCATCTCACACTTGGGGATGCAATATATTATTTGCTTTGATGAAATCACTGAAAAATTCCATGTTTGTGAAATTTCAGAACCACATGTACTTGATTTTGATAAATGTAAATGCACTATAGATGATGATTCTACATTTCTGCAGTATTATGACTTTACTAAAATTACAAATGACGTCGGCAGAATCAGTAAAAATGAATATTTAAAATATCATTAGTGTCTCATTTGTCAACTTCAATGGTGACAGTTGGTTTTAAATTGTAGTTTTTTGTGTGTGACTTGAAAAGGTAATTGTATGTACATCAACATTAATATCCACTGCAGAATGATCAACAATACTTGTCATTGATTTTCAGACGCTCTAGATGCTCTCCAGCAGTATACAAACACACATGGTGCATATCTGCATGATTCTGCCTTTGGGGAGGGCCACAAACTGGAACGGCCATGTGTTGACCTGATAAATGCATGCAAAGATGCAAAGATAGGAGCAGAGATGCTTGAGGCGTTGTTCAAAGGAGGCTTTATAAAGAAAGGTTCATACAACCTGCTTGAGGCTTACATAAAGTCAGCTATAGAGAGGTAGGTCTTTCATTGACTAAGGAGGACTCCTATGCATTGTTAAGATATTAAATTCACTATCCAGAGCAAATTATCTGAGGTAAAAACCAGATTCATGAAACGTAAAACAACATTCTTATAAATTATTCATCTAAAATCCTTCCAGTTTATGGAAAGCAGGGGTTTCATTAGCAGCATGCAACAGGCGATTTTCACCGGTTGTTTTCCCAAAATCAACCGGATCTTTTTAGGGCCTTTTCAACTTTTCCTTGTTAAAGGAGTGGTATCGATATGGAGACCTTTTTGAACACACGTTTCTCTTAAATCAGTCATGAAAAAAATCTAAAAATTTAACACACCGTCAATTTAATGGACATCTTTTGAATGGTAACAATATAATTTGAAAAATACATATAATCTTTCATCTATATTGTTTTAGAAAACACATCAAACACTTGTTTTGTTCTTGGTATCATGTTTCCAGAGTGAAATGAAACATCTTTTCGAACCTCATTGGAACAAAACGACATAAACACAACATGTTTAGGTCTCTCAATTGTACCAGTACAAAGGAAATTTTGGGGGGGGGTTTGTTTTAATTTTTTTAATGCTTTTTTAAGATCAACCAAAAATTCCTTTGTATAACTATAATATTGAGAGGTAAAAACATGTTGTATATGCTATTTTGTTCCAACAAGGTTCGGAAAGACATTTTATTTCATATTCAAGAATTCGTAGAAAGGAGCAAAAACAATTGCACTAAAAAAAAAAAACAGTTATATAAAATATTTCTAAATAATTTTCGCATTAAATTGTTGTCAATCAGTCAACATTACATAAAATACTGTGTTTTTTTACAGAATGTTTTCAATGATTGGTTTAAGAGAAAAACATTGTTGAATTCAGTTCTCCATATCAATATCACTCTTTTATGATTTCCATATTAATTTTCCCTGTTGTTTTCATTTTTAGCCTGTTGTAGAAATTCTAGTGAAACCCCTGGGAAAGTGTTATTTTATAGATAATATTTAAATGTTTATTCCATTCTCCCAGGGCTGATGCAGAGGGTCTAGTAACAGCAACAGAGTATTGTGTCCTCAACTTCAACAAGTGTTATTTTATAGATAATATCTAAATGTGTCTTCCATTCTCCCAGGGCTGATGCAGAGGGTCTAGTAACAGCAACAGAGTATTGCGTGCGCAACTTCAACAAGTGTTATTTTATAGATAATATCTAAATGTGTCTTCCATTCTCCCAGGGCTGATGCAGAGGGTCTAGTAACAGCAACAGAGTATTGTGTGCGCAACTTCAAGTCTTATTTTATAGATAATATCTAAATGTAGGGGTGAGACGAGTCGAAAAAATCCGATTCGAGTCAAATCCGATTCGAGTCAGAAAATGACGATTCGAGTTTCGAATCCGTTTCGAGTCGCGCGAAGTGCGAACAACATCGCTTTTGACCGTTCGTATTTTTAATGCATCAATGGTGGAAAGCCGGAAATATAAACAAACACAATTCGTCGTAAGTTTATTCTGATTTTATTACATATATTCTTTCATTTATGTGTACATACAATATAATAATTTAATACAAGCATATCCAAGTCATTGAAACTTATATATTCAACGCAATATCGAGTAAAAACATGCATATTGACAGTATTTTTCAGATTTTTTTTATTTTTTCGAATTTTTTTGTCAACTCGAAAATGATTCGATTCATCAACTTCGACTCGATTCGACTTGACTCGAAGCCCCAAACCCGCGAGTCCTCGACTCATCGGGTTGTCGTCTCACCCCTATCTAAATGTGTCTTCCATTTACCCAGGGCTGATGCAGAGGGTCTAGTAACAGCAACAGAGTATTGCGTGCACAACTTCAGCAAGTCTTATTTTATAGATAATATCTAAATGTGTCTTCCATTCTCCCAGGGCTGATGCAGAGGGTCTAGTAACAGCAACAGAGTATTGCGTGCGCAACCTCAACAAGTCTTATTTTATAGATAATATCTAAATGTGTCTTCCATTCTCCCAGGGCTGATGCAGAGGGTCTAGTAACAGCAACAGAGTATTGCGTGCACAACTTCAGCAAGTCTTATTTTATAGATAATATCTAAATGTGTCTTCCATTCTCCCAGGGCTGATGCAGAGGGTCTAGTAACAGCAACAGAGTATTGCGTGCGCAACTTCAAGTCTTATTTTATAGATAATATGTAAATGTTTCTTCCATTCTCCCAGGGCTGATGCAGAGGGTCTAGTAACAGCAACAGAGTATTGCGTGCGCAACTTCAACAAGTCTTATTTTATAGATAATATCTAAATGTGTCTTCCATTCTCCCAGGGCTGATGCAGAGGGTCTAGTAACAGCAACAGAGTATTGCGTGCGCAACTTCAACAAGTCTTATTTTATAGATAATATCTAAATGTGTCTTCCATTCTCCCAGGGCTGATGCAGAGGGTCTAGTAACAGCAACAGAGTATTGCGTGCGCAACTTCAACAAGTCTTATTTTATAGATAATATGTAAATGTTTCTTCCATTCTCCCAGGGCTGATGCAGAGGGTCTAGTAACAGCAACAGAGTATTGCGTGCGCAACCTCAACAAGTCTTATTTTATAGATAATATCTAAATGTGCCTTCCATTCTCCCAGGGCTGATGCAGAGGGTCTAGTAACAGCTACAGAGTATTGCGTGCGCAACTTCAACAAGTGTTATTTTATAGATAATATCTAAATGTGCCTTCCATTCTCCCAGGGCTGATGCAGAGGGTCTAGTAACAGCTACAGAGTATTGCGTGCGCAACTTCAACAAGTGTTATTTTATAGATAATATCTAAATGTGCCTTCCATTCTCCCAGGGCTGATGCAGAGGGTCTAGTAACAGCAACAGAGTATTGCGTGCGCAACCTCAACAAGTCTTATTTTATAGATAATATCTAAATGTGTCTTCCATTCTCCCAGGGCTGATGCAGAGGGTCTAGTAACAGCAACAGAGTATTGTGTCCTCAACTTCAACAAGTGTTATTTTATAGATAATATGTAAATGTTTCTTCCATTCTCCCAGGGCTGATGCAGAGGGTCTAGTAACAGCAACAGAGTATTGTGTCCTCAACTTCAACAAGCGTTATTTTATAGATAATATGTAAATGTTTCTTCCATTCTCCCAGGGCTGATGCAGAGGGTCTAGTAACAGCAACAGTATTGCGTGCACAACTTCAACAAGTGTTATTTTATAGATAATATTTAAATGTTTCTTCTATTCTCCCAGGGCTGATGCAGAGGGTCTAGTAACAGCAACAGAGTATTGCGTGCGCAACTTCAACAAGTGTTATTTTATAGATAATATCTAAATGTGTCTTCCATTCTCCCAGGGCTGATGCAGAGGGTCTAGTAACAGCAACAGAGTATTGCGTGCACAACTTCAGCAAGTCTTATTTTATAGATAATATTTAAATGTTTCTTCTATTCTCCTAGGGCTGATGCAGAGGGTCTAGTAACAGCAACAGAGTATTGCGTGCACAACTTCAGCAAGTCTTATTTTATAGATAATATCTAAATGTTTCTTCCATTCTCCCAGGGCTGATGCAGAGGGTCTAGTAACAGCAACAGTATTGCGTGCGCAACTTCAACAAGTGTTATTTTATAGATAATATCTAAATGTGCCTTCCATTCTCCCAGGGCTGATGCAGAGGGTCTAGTAACAGCTACAGAGTATTGCGTGCGCAACTTCAACAAGTGTTATTTTATAGATAATATCTAAATGTGCCTTCCATTCTCCCAGGGCTGATGCAGAGGGTCTAGTAACAGCTACAGAGTATTGCGTGCGCAACTTCAACAAGTGTTATTTTATAGATAATATCTAAATGTGCCTTCCATTCTCCCAGGGCTGATGCAGAGGGTCTAGTAACAGCAACAGAGTATTGCGTGCGCAACTTCAACAAGTGTTATTTTATAGATAATATCTAAATGTGTCTTCCATTCTCCCAGGGCTGATGCAGAGGGTCTAGTAACAGCAACAGAGTATTGTGTCCGCAACTTCAACAAGCTTCCTTTGTACCCAGATGTCTTCAACTTTCTCATAAAACAGAACAAATCAGATGAACTACAAAAAGGTTAGTAATTTTCTGTTAACTCCTCTGTGTTTACAAGAAATTAAAAAGTATAATATTTATAATATGATATTGATAAATCAATGATAAATGTTTTTGAAGATATGCAAGAACTGAAGAAAATATACCAGTTATCAAGAACAATACAGTAGTGTCATTTTTGTTCATTTCGAACAGGTCTCATGAGTCAAAATGACATCACCCTGCATTCATGCCAAGCAAAATCTATGTTTTGTTTTATGTCACCACCAAAAAGTTTTGTTTACATATTGTTGTGGTCTCCATTTTTTGTGACAGCGGTTGGTGATCGGTGGTTGGCATCTGTAACAAATGGTGGTGATATTTCGCATGTTAATGCCTTGTGTTTCAGTGATGGACATGTGTATAAAGTTGTTTGGAGAGATGGCTGTACTGAACCACCTTACCATATGTTTTGTGTTTCAGTGATGGACATGTGTATAAAGTTGTTTGGAGAGATGGCTGTACTGAACCAACTTACCATATGTTTTGTGTTTCAGTGATGGACATGTGTATAAAGTTGTTTGGAGAGATGGCTGTACTGAACCAACTTACCATATGTTTTGTGTTTCAGTGATGGACATGTGTATAAAGTTGTTTGGAGAGATGGCTGTACTGAACCAACTTACCATATGTTTTGTTGAATGTGGTCTCATGAATCAGGCCAGGAAAGTCATGGAGGTAAACTACAATCCACTTATTATTTTAAGTTGTAAATGTATCATGGTGTGTTAGATACGACGTGTATGTGTGTAATTAGTAATTACTAGTATTGTGTTGTACTTCTTATGTAAGTGTTCATGAATTGCAACTACATTACATATAAATGCATCTTTACATGTACTAAATGACTATGAGGACTGAAGTATCACTATGAGCAATTACTTAAGTTTTAGATGTAGACAAAACCAAAAATATTCCTGTTGCATATTTTTCACATACTGCTTTGTTATTATGTCACCACCACAAGTGTTATGGTTTCCAATCTTTTTGTGGACAGTGGCAGCATTTGGCAGTTGGTGTTTGATGTTTGTTGTTTGGTGTTTGTAATAAATGGCAAGTTGTGACATTTTGCATGTAATTGCTTGTATATATTATATATTATTTACTAATTGTTTCAGACTCCAGGGCTGAGAGCCATAACAGACCTTCATCTTAGTGCTTGTGACAGATACATTGACAACCGTGAGGTAGGAACAATTCTAGATCTTCATACTTTTCTCTATGTTTGATAGGACCAACCTAAACTTAATGTATCTTGCCAAAATTTAATCAATGGCACAGTTAATGGCACATTATAATCCATATTATATTGTGTCCAATAAAACTAGATTTTGTCTTAAAGTGATATGGGGTTATGTTATCAAACAGCCAAAGGTCCACCAGTATCTCAATACTTCTGTTTTTTAGTTTTCTTACCTATTAGTCTAGGAATTTACTGTAAATTTATACTCTTTTTATTTTTTGATTTCAGGTCACACATTTGCGCAATCTAGTGGACATAACTAAAGATTTCTATGGTGTTGACCGAGACAATATGTTGTTTATGCTGATCAAGGGATATGGTAAGTTCTTTTTTTAGTATTGAAGGACAAACCACTAGATCTTCAGATACTTTAATTGTTTGCCTTAATACTGAGGGGTGGAGCACTAGATTAGATTTGGTTGCTTTGGGATATGTTCATGGCTTATCATTTCAAATAAAATGAAATATTATTTTCAAGGTATTTATGTAAACATGCATAAAATCAAATCATTTTCAAACAATGCGAGATCAAACAAGTGACAGAACAAAATATAAGGTGGAGAGTCGAGTCATGAGGCTGTATGAGATAGTACAAAATATTTCCAGATGTGTTCCTAAAATATATCTTCTGGGACAACACCAATTGTTTGTTTGATATAACATTTTAAAGTGAATGTTGACAGGTGTTGCCAAGCAACCTGAGAAAGCCCTAGATGTGTACACCATGTATGATGAAGAGAATATCCTCCCCAGACCACGAACTCTTCGTTACCTGGCATCTGTTCTCAAGTCTGCTGACATGGATGTGCCATTTGAAGTGCCAAATGTTAAGTCAAGCCATGGTGACCAGCAGCTACCGACTGGCTTCACTCCTGGTGTTGAGGCTACTGGACAGCGACAGCAAACAGGCCCTGTGCCAGTTGAAAAGGTGAGCAGATAGAGTTTCTTAACCAGCTTTCCTTGCTCATGTTGCAATGGTATGTACTCACTCATACTCATTGTTTTATCACCCTGGCATGTACTGTAGACAGCAACATAGACCTTAATCTTTTGATTGTATATCTAAAATCAGTTATAAATGTAGTCATACATAGAATATAGGGATTCATTTGTGATTACCTGACCAATCTCATAATTGATCTTGTCTTCAGCCTACTCCAGCAAGACGTGAGCCTGTACCCCGTAAACCTGTTGTTTTAAGTATGGATGAGAATATGTTGAATGACCTAGACAGAGATCTACTTGCAGCCTACAACACATTAGGCATGAACAAAGTTATTGAAATACTCGAGTAAGGATAACAGATTGTCTTATAATTTGTTGTATTGTCCCTCTTAAAATCATATTCACTCAGAAAAATTGTATTGCCTCAGGAAAAAAATCGTACTGGGATTGGGATAGTATTCACTCAAAAATTGATTTGATGAAAAGACAATCTTGGTAACATAAATATAATCGCAAATCTATCTGAGACATTGTGCCAAGGACATTGTGCCAAAGACTAATGTAATAATGAAAATTTGTCTGCTTAATAGTTACTGATATGTTAGTTCCTTCTTGAACATTTACGTGTCTTATCTCTCACAAGATTTTTATGTCATCTTTAGTTCCTCTTTGTACACTTGTCTATGATGACATAATTTTATGTTTTATTTCAGGGCAAATGTAGGAAAGGAATATAATGTCTTGGCTGATATCGCAAAAGCTGCTTTTCTTCAACGTTATAAAGCAGGTAAGAGTAATTTGGTTTTATTGGAATGCTATTCTTGGTTGTCATCTTCATCTCAATCTTCATTTAGATTAAACCACAGGATTTAGATATGCGTTTTAGTATTACATGTATCATTGTATGATTTGTAGAACTTGGACGACTTTGTGAATATCTTGTTGAACTCCGAGACATGGAATTACTGTGTAAAATCAGCCAAACTTTACCAGGAAACAATGCAAAGGTTTTTGAAAGCATCATTCTTGCAGCCATGTAAGTAATCCTTGCAGCCATGTAAGTAATCCTTGCAGCCATGTAAGTAATTCTTGCAGCCTTATAAGTAATCCTTGTAACCATGTAAGTAATCCTTGTAACCGTGTAAGTAATCCTTGCAGCCGTGTCTAACATAAATTATTCTTGCAACTTTGTTAATAACATATAGGCTATATAAAGCAAAACATCATGAAGGTGTCTTATGTTCTAAAGTGCTCTCAGCCAAGCAGACAAAACATGAAAACCTAACATGGAGGGTAAGAGAAGCATTTCTCAATAACATAATATAATCTGCATTTTTAAGTCACCACCACAAGTGATGACATATTGTTACAGTTTCCAACATTTTGTGGATAGTATTTGGTGAATGGTGTTCAGCGGTTAGTGGTTTGTGTTCGGCGCTTGGCATTTGTAACTAAAGGCTAGTGGTGACATTTTGCATGTTAATCCCTTGTTGATAATTAAAATTGTATGAGATATATACAACTCTGCATCTCATTTTTAGAAATAAGGGAGACTCTTCAGTGGCTGTCCTTTCAAAAAGTATAGATGAAAATCCCAAAGTTAGCATGGCATTTCTATTCAAGTTAGAGGGTACAGACACATTCTCTAAAGGTAGGTGTTGCGAAAGCAATTGTCAGATTGTGTATAGAACAAGTACATGATGGCCCAATGGTGCATTCAATATTAAATTTAAATAATGGATGTTCTCCAAATGAAAAGATGGAGTCACAATAGTTTGCTTTCTGTTCAAAATTGAAATTAAGATATAACATGAGGAACTTCAGTGAACTGTTGACCATTTTTCAAAAATATTGTGATTCTTGGCTTATTTGACGAATTGATCTAGAGCTTTTTCGGTGAAAGTGCAAAGATCCCTTTCCATTCATTCATTTCTAGATCCAAATATGCCTATTAGTCAGTCAACCAGAAGGTTTCCATTGTTGATTGCAATTATGATGGTCACAGTCATGGGTGTTTTTTCTGTTTTTACAGTATGTGACATGTTGAAGGAATTCGCAGACCATGGCTCAGAAAGTGCTGTATCAGCATTATGCAAATACCACATGTACAAAAAGGAATATAATGTAGCTGAGGAATTACTGAATGTAAGTGGTAGTTGTCGCGAGTGTTACCAAGTTATAGGCAAATCTATCATATTATGCCAACCCAGACACATCTAAATGGCCAGGGACATGTTTTATATGTCTCTAACCAAACTAGCAATAATTCAGTACCCCTTCCTTCTGTCCTTTACTTACAATATAATCCAATATATAAGCATTATTAAGTCTCAATATAGATAACAAAGATTATGTATTTTTTGTTAATGTAAATATTACAAACTGACAGGCTCCAGGCTTAAGCCAAAGTGTAACTGAGGTGTGCCATGTTGTTTGCTGAAAGGCAGTTATACATTATAGAAAGCATAGAATAATTGCAAGCAATTACATGAGTATTTTTGGTAAAATAAGGCTGTTGTCATTACTGTACTATATACAGTTTCGGGGACATTCATCAAGAATTGATGAACATGTGCTTACTTTTTTAGAAATATCCTAAATGTGCCGAGTCTGTGCAACCAATGCAAGTAATAGAGAATGTGAAAACCAGTGTAAGTAGACATGTTTTAAGTTATTATGGAATTACCAATGTAACAATTTACGATAAAAACTTAAGTAATTGTATTGTGGGGCAATCACCCTCTGGCCCCACTTAAAATGAAAATTATGATTTGATGTTTGATCATTACGAATGCGACTTTGCTTATTATAAGAAGTTATTAACCAATTTTTGGGAGACCATATGACAAGAACATGAAACATTCTGTTGATATACGTTTACTATCATGTTAGATTAACAGTTTAATCAAGACTCATTAAGAAAACAAACATAAACCATGTGGTACTTATTAAATAATTGCTATAAAATGGAGTTCTTGTTTTGTTGCAGGTAGAGGACTTACAGCGAGTGAAAGCAATTATAAAATTCAGTAAAGATAAGGCTGCTACGGAGAGTGTATTTGTCTGTTTGGTGAAAGCTCAGAGTATGTATATAAGTTCTGTTAAATCATATTGCTACATGTGCATATGTAAAGCTGATGTGACATTTCAATATATTTTTATTTTTTGACATTTTTTGAATTTTTGCCTAGCTTTATCAATAAGAGTTTATGAATTTTCTTCAGCTTGCATTAATACATAGGATGTTAATACATGTCAGTATGTATGTATATTCATATTTGTCCACATCTTTTTTTATTTAACTGTTTTATTTTGAAGAGTAGGCCATTTTGAAGTGCTAAAATTGCAGTGATTTTTCATTGTACCAATTTACATAATTGTCGGTTATATTGTATTGCAGTTACAAAGAACCAGCTCTCTGAGGCAGTCGACACAGTGAAAGAAGCTCTAGAATGTGACGTAACAGAGGGTTCATTCTCTAAAGAAATAAGAAACAAACTTGGAGACTTTTTAACATCAAATAATCAAACGGTTCCTTGGACTGTAGAACCTGCTGCTTCTAGTCAAGAAGCACATGCTAGCTAGGAATAGCAACCATTAGGAAATTTTAGAATGACAAATAGACTAGCCGAGAAAATATGGATTTAATCTGTGGTTTCCCATAAAATATTGCATGTACCAAGGTAGATGGTTGCCAACAAGGTGGACAATTAACTATGGAACCACTTACATGTATGTGACAGTTGTACTAAGACAAGCATTTAACCCAAGAAGTGAGGCTGAGGTCATTGACTTTTATTCCTCGTTACTGCACTATTCTTGGTAGCTTTATTTATTTAACATGTTTAAACAACTTAATTGATAATGTTCAATTGAAACTGATATATCATCTCGTTTCATCTTTAAGGTAGGCCTTGAAGAGTCAATAAACTTGTACAATGTACCTTTTACATATTAGGCTACTACGCATTGCTAAATATATATGTTGTCTCTTTTGGCCTACCTTTAACAGAAGAGAACAAATCAAATGGAAAAATAATCCACGGTTCAAAATGGAAATAGCTAAATATCACACTTTATAATCATAGTGCTTAGATGAGACACTTCTCATTTTTGCAATACAAGGAATACTAACAATCACACAAGAGACGAGGCATTAACATGCAAAATGTCATCACCTTCCATTTGTTACATATACGGAACACCAACCACCGACTGCTGCCACAAAAAAATTGAGGACTAAAACAACATGTCATCTAAAGTTATGTTGTAGAAGCCTGTGTGCCAATTTACAGATTTGTTGCCACTTAACCACAGTAGTTTGAGTGCTATTCATATTCATTTATTGCCAAATCTCTTCTCTTTGTGATTCAAAGTTGTTTATCAATACAAATATTGATAAACAAGTATATAAGTAGAGAAGTTGAGTAACCAGAAGTATTTATTGTGCCTCATATTTGTCACAGGGCAAACTTGTTTTATGTGCATGATACTATAAGGTACCTGTAGTATAACTAGTATGTGTGGTTATGTTTGAAGCAATGTTGAAGTGAACATTCAGGTATATATTGTATGATGCATGATGTTTGTTAGATGATTTATAATGAAATTGTATAAAAATATATATATGAAACAAAAACCTTAAAGTGTGTTGTTTTTTCTTAAAAATCAGATTGTGGAATCATTTTATAAAATCATAGACCCGGCTTGCATCCTACTGCAGATTTGTGCGAAACGATTACCATATATCATCCAAAGAGGTATACACACATACGGTTAATAGTCCTGAGTTACATTTCCCATGATTAATCAACATAACTTTTTGAAAGAACTTGTACATGAACACGTTCACATACAATTTCACATGGATTATTCAACATAACTTCTTGAAAGAATTTGTACTTGAACACGTTCACATACAATTTCACATGGATTAACATCACACAATGAATCGGAAATATTTAATTGATAAAAAAGAAAGTTGGAACTTAGTGTCAACTTTGAATCATGGGCATTGCAAAATAAATAGGAATCTTTTAGAAAACTCGCCTCATCAATTGTATTTTGGTTTCAGTCAAATAGATGGACATGCTGTGTTCTCAATTTGAACATCTCAGTCATACAGTGAAGTCTGTTTGGAACACCCTTTTTAGTAGAACGCTTTTTAGAGTCCATAGATCAATTGAAGTAATGTTAAATGAGCAACACCTCGCAAGTGGAACACTTTTTACTGGTACTAAATGTGTTCCACTAAGACAGGTTTTACTGTACTTACCTTACTTGCCAGTCAAAAGTAACAATTTTTTTTAATTTTTCCAGAAACCTTTATTTTTGTACACCAACTGCAAAAAAATGTTTGAAAAATCGTTAAACATGATTAACTATTTTGTTTTTATGCCAATATACATGAATGATGACTCATTATAGATTGAACTTTCATCCAAATACAATTTGTTATTAAAACATAGAAGATGTGGGTGTCTCAAGAAGACTACTTTTTGTTGATTCTTACAAACCATTTTATGATAATCTCCATTTCAATGCATCGAAAAATTACAAGGAACAATAATCTAAGCAATTCTAGGGACAATGAATATTTATAGCAATAATGAAATAAAATCAATTAGTGTTTGAAATATATAATAATTGGTGAATGTTGGATAAAACAATGACTTGAATGACATCAAACATCACATGCAAGATGTCGCTATCCTTTTTACAATTGTTGAAAATGCAATTGTCAGAAATGATCAATGGATGAAACAATAGTGCACACTTAATAATATATATGGTATTTCATGAAATTATAGGACTACCATTCATAATTTTGTTAATCCTGAATAATGCCACAAGCATTCAATTTAGAAACAAGAATGTTCTACCAATTAATGAATATAATTAATAATTCTGATTGATGACACCAAAACAATGGTAAGCAATATACCAATACTTATATTCCAATTACACCCCCAACAGAAATATAATGTCAACCTTCATTGATTTTTTGTTGAATCAGAACTACAAAGCATCTCTGAATGATGTTTTGATACACTAACAAAAGGTTTCAATCAAAAAATCCCATCATGACATTTATGTTGGAAGAGATCCAACTAGAGACGGAATGACATAACAACAGAATTTGTATCAGAAATAGAACATTTAATATACTAGTAAGTAAAACTAATTTCAAACATTTTTTTAATTCATAAAATTGTATTTCTCATTCTATAAGTACATAAGACCGTGTTACAATACAACATAGCAATATTTGTTCTACCTCATCAATTTACAAATATAATATACATGTACAAGCACTTGATACAAAGGTTATTTCACCATTGATTTGAATAAATATCATTTGTCTTGTAGCTAGGCATGATAATCACATTCTAGCAAATGAGGACACATCATAACCATTCTATATTCATATTTCATAATAGCTTTGTCGATAAAGAAGAATGGTTATAAGGGAAAGAACTGACCATAGTATCATAACTAAACTAGAAAATGGTACTCCATACAGTGCATAGGAGTACATGTAGCACTAAGAACATCCCAATGAACAAATTATTTGTATATCTGAAACATGTCACAATATAGTGAAAATCCCTAATACATCATCTTTTTTATGTGTGAATAGAATTAAACCACTTGATTCAACATATGGTTGATTTAACGATTTCTTGTAGGTTAGATTTTAATCCCAGACGGCCACTTATTATTATTGACCTTGACCTAGATCCAGTGCAATTAAATACCTTATCAATTTTACAATTTAAATGGCACAGATGTACACTATATACCTTTGATGGTATAATTTTTTCAATAAGAAGACTGCTATAATGCTACACCAAAGTCATTCAAGAGGACTGGATACAGGATTATTTGGGAAGATGTCAAAATGACCTGCATGCCTGCAATTGCATTTCTTTTTATAAACTGTTTTACCATGTGTGAAAGGATTTAAGCACACAACTCAATGAGTTTAGGGAATGAGGAATCAGTCAATTCATAAAAGACACTTTCCTGAGATCCAATTAACCAGGATTTTTCTTTTTGGCAAAGCTTAAAATTAGAGAATGTTTCAAATTGCCAAATTCACCAAAATATAGCAGGCGCTAAGTTAACCAGAGGCCCCGGAATTACACTGTGCACCAAGGTGCAATACAAAACTAATAACACACCAGTTGCCTCGTTCTGCCACATCCTAATAATAGCGCTATAATTACAGCAGATGTTGCTTTACTTAGTTACAGAAAATACTTTTATATGAACAGCTGAACTGTTCCTCGTTTGTGTTCCTGGTTCTACATCATCAGTGTTAGGTTCAAGGTCATCTATTAGTTCAACAGTTGATGTGTTCACTGCAGTGTCCAAAGTTCCTGCACTTTCAGCTTTAAGCTTTAGAGCCAGATTGACAGCTCTATTCACAGCATTGCCTAATCCATGAATATATATTTCACAATGCTTCCCAGTATCTAATAGGTTTTTACAACGCTTCAACTGACAATTGAAATTGGTCTTTTTTGTAACATAGATATCATTTGTCCTCCTTGGCATTTGCTTAGGGAGTCTTTTCCTAACAGTGTACTCCTCTGGTCCAATAGCTTCAACACCAGGTGGCGCAACTGTAGAATCTGCTGCAGGGGATGTGACTATCTTCTCCGAAGACATATTCTGGAACATAAATTATATGTAAAAGATCTGGTTTTAAAATATAAGTGACAAATATCAAGTGATAATTAGTACAAAGTGAAAATACTGTACCAAGTGACAAAAGGCAGTATTGCAGTGCAACAACGGATAAAGAAGGTTTAGGGTATTGAACATAATGCTTAAAAGCGTACCAAGACAATACATGTATATGATGTAGGTGTGTGTCTATTGAATTGGGATGTGTGTACAATCAGCATCATCTATGCTATACCTGAAATCTGAGACTAACAAAAGTCTCAGCTAAAATATAATAAAATGAAGTATTATATCGTGGAGTGAAATACTATTATGGTCTCCAATTTTTTGGAGATGGCGGTTGGCAGTTGGTGTTCGGCTGTCAGTGTTTCTAACAAATTCTTACGGTGTCTATTGTAAACTCTTACAACTTCCATGTGAGTTTGAATTGCATATCATCTGAGACTCAGATATCATACAGGTGCACCAAGTTCCGGTGATCTCATCAATGAGGGCTAGTGCACACAAAACGTATTTATCTAAAATTTTCATTTTTTTGTAGCTAAAATATGAATGTATTTTTCAAATAATATTATAGAATGTGCTTTTCCTTTGCTCGCCTCGTATTTTTTACTTTTTTAGTTTTTTGATTGACGCACAAAAATGTGATTCAGCTTCTAAACTATAAAGAAACGTACCGATGGTTTTTAATTCTCAGCTTTCTTCACATTTGTGGAGTCACACGTGTTGTAAACAACTGTTACTTTGGCTACAGAGAGAAATCAGAGAAATTTGAGCAAACCGTGTTTTTCCCTAGAATATAATCGTGGTGATTCAAAACTCACGACACACCACATTATCATATTAAAAACGAACATTCGTTCTTTTAATTCCAGTCGTTTAGCGTGTCAAAAACCGAACGTATCACTGGTTAAAATTACCCTATCATTATTGTCGACATTTGCACGTATCTCTCTGTTTTCAAACTAGCAATAGAAATGACTGACAGAAGGCGCTGATCTCTGACGAAATAAATTGTGGATTTATAACTTCACGTATGTTTTGCAGGCCCCGTAGCTAGCCGGGGGGGGGGGGGTCGATGCTTATATTTGTTTTCAGGACCCGCAAGAGACGCTCTTGTTTGAGCCTCTATAGGGCAAGGAAAAAATTGTGTCTTGCTTTATTTATGAAACCAATGAAAGGTAAAAAAAAGAGGCAAAAGAAGAATTAGCATCAAATACTGATAAATATGACAAAATTAATAACAATGAATCGGGGATACATATTTGAACGAGGTTTGCGTAACCGTCCATCAATTTTTGGCGTAACCGCAAATTCAAAATACATTATTATGGCTTGAGTAGAACATATAAGGTGGTTTCCAATGCTCAATTGGCTTTTTATGATCGTATGTAGGTTACATCTATATACCCCGAGGTAATAAACAAATTACTTAATTTTGTGTAGTTTTGAATTTCAAACTCAACAGTTTTTCGCTTATTTCATGTTATCCCCGGGCATCAATTTGCAGACTAGCTTACGTTCAAAATATACATTACTAAATGCACCGAATGCAATGCTTACATAAATCGTTCATCCTTTCATTGATACACAGTAGTAGAAAATAATGCACCAACCTTAGTTTTCTGTTCCATCGCGGCCATTCTATTAGATAAATCAGTGAACGTAGCCGTCCAACCTCGTATTCAGAGGTGGCGTAACCGTCATGCTATAGCGGGGTGCATAGTATACAATTCACCGCACCAAGTCATGTGCTTAACCCCTTTTAACCCATTGCAGAATACTTTGTACAGTTGACGAGGGTAATCAATTTCACTGAATCTAAAGATAGCCAGTCTATACAGTAGAATGCAAAATATTTTAAATCCTATGTTCTGGTTGGCTGAAATTTCATATACCATCATGCCTTGTGAATGCATTTAGCCCACTGCCTTAAATATTTTAGCAATAAGAAAAAAAATTCTTGGACTGAAACGGACTGGAAAAATTCCAAAACGTATCTAGAAGACAGTTGCCACGATTAAAAAGAGCTTACCTTCCAGACGAAGCTGATTGTAACGCGGTATATGGCATACATTCATGGTTGCGCGGTATTTGTGATACGGGTGAATATGCCATACTCACCTGCGGTATATGGCATATTCCGCAGGTGAGTATGCGATATTCCGCAGTGAATATGCGATGCATTGATTTCAGTGAATACCCGATACTCACCTGTGGAATATGTCATACTCACTTGCAGAATATGCCATATACCGCAGGTGAATATGACATATACCGCAGGTGAAAACGTAATACAGAAAGCCTTGATTTCATTGATTGCGAGAATCGACTCTAAATGTAAAACTACGCTGTATTACCATTATAGTTAGTGCGTCGAGTACTAATATATGAATCCTGGATTGATTGAGTAATTAAGTTTATTACGCGAGATTGGTGACTGATACTTCTGCTAAGTTAATATATTCGATACACAGTACTGTTGATTCAGTAATCATAACAATAATTAATAACGTTTTACTATTTCGTTCAATCGATGCAATTGACAATTGCGTACTTCCGTATCACGTTCTCATTGGTTAGTTCGTATGCCATATACCGCAGGTGAATCTGTCATACACCGCAAGTGAATATGCCATATTCGTTGCGGAATATGACATATTTTTGTATCGTGTTTACCGCGTAACACTGATGACGTTCCTGTTTCGGAAGGTATTCCAGTTCAAGGAGTCAAAAGCAAGTTGTTGTCACCGTGGTTATGTGACCAACAACGGCATAATGTGCACTATTTTAGGGATAGGGGGTTATATTATATGTCATTGCGATCGTATCTAGATCAGAGGAAGAGTTGTTTTCTCTGACATATTTCATTTTTCTCATGAATATTTCATTTTCATAAAAAAAGTAGTGCATATCTGTCCGCAACCGACTTCGCGCACATGCAACATATACACGTAAGTCAGAGAGAAGTAATCAAAATGATAAAAAATGTTTATGGAGCTCTAAAGTGTTCGTAAATTACCAGTTAGAACAGACAGAGGTGTCACGACACAGATAAAATCAATCTATTCTTTGGAATCTTTTGTGTCTATGTCTTTTTGCAGTATTCACATCCCAGTTTAAATCAAATCAAAACCACAGGTTGTTCACGAAGAAAAATGTTTAAAACGGATCTCGCACTTTAATCGTCGAATTAAATCAAGGAACTCTATTGATATCAGACAAACTTTGAATAATTCTTTCGGATGGCGGACGTCATTGTTGATGTAGATTTGCTCATTTTAGTTTTATGTTCACCGTGTATCCTGGATTCTCTCCCATTCAGAGCGTAAATTGGTTACAAAATTTCCAATCAAGCTAAAATAGTATTCCCCATCTTTAATTAAAGCGTTAATACGATTAATAAGATGGTGTCGGGTGCATGTTCATTTACTTCTGTCTGCCAACCAAGACTCGTGTCACTCAACATGGCCACTGATATACTATTTATTAGCTACTGGAATATAATCGCTTCAATTATGTCCAATAAACCACGTAGATCTTTATTATTGAAACGCCTACAACCTAGAAATAAGAAACCAATACATTAAACTAAACTAATGCAGCAAGTTAACTGAAGAAAATTTTGAATAAGAAATTTTGCTTTTTACTTTCATGAAAATGTTTTTACCTCCATGGAATATGTAACCACGCGTGCCAAGAGGAAAAATACTTATCCAAAAGAAACATAAGAGCGTAACCCGTCATAAAAGTCACCAATATCCCAAACTACGATCTAAAGCACAGAAAAACAATGTTGAACAGTTACACTCCCTCGATTACCTTTCGGGAATAATCATCACACAACAATTATGGAGGATTTCAAGATATTAGAACTGTGTGGTACAACGATCAGTTCTAGGTGGTAAAAGGATTGGAACTATGTGGTATAAGAACCAGATGCTTGAAACCTTAGGAATCTGCCAAAAATATCGTTTCACTAGAAATTATTCTGGCGAACAGATGCGCCCCCTATACCATAGAAGTGGGGGCACAGATATTCTTTAAATTCAATTCCATGTGTTATACAATGTTATCAAAATGTGATACTTTTCTTTCTCAAAAAGTTTTCTTTCAAGGACTTTTTAATCACGGGGTCCAACTATACACGAAAACAACCGTTAATTCAAATTTTAGATGTTTGAAAATCAATGATTGTGAGTCTCAGACTACACCGTTTTTCTTGAAACTTGTTCTATTCAAGGAAAAACAAAAATGTCTTTCTGTCGGTGCATTGCTTTATTGTACTGAGTCTAAAAGGAGGGACTCTGTAGAACAGAATAAAGTACCAACAGAAAGGCATTTTTGTTTTGCTTTTAATGGAACAAGTTTGAAGAAGAACGATGCAGTATGAGACTCACAATCCTTGATTTTCAAACACCTAATAGAAAATTTATTTTTTAGAATAACAATATGGTTGTCACACGCATCTACATGTTTTAGTAAACAAAACCTACAATGACATAGCATATATCTTTAAAAATTTGTACGAATTTCAAAACGTTTGAGACAACCTTCGTATAAAAAAAATAAAAGGCCGACTGCAACAGCTTATTTTCGAGAGTCAACTTTTTTCGGAAAAGTGTCTTATAATATATAGATAATTATATAGATATAGATATTATTTTCAACAGTGTGACAAGTGATTTGTGTAAATTTGGGCAAATACAAAACAACCTTTGAATTATCATTTCTTATTTCTTATCACTCCCATTCAATCTGGTTTAAAAGTAATATTCACTATTCTCTGAATCTCTCTAGATCTAAGATATATACTTTATTTCTATGCAGTTTATAATACGTATTCCTCGTATTTATATAAAGTATAGCATAAACATATACAGTACCCCGGGGTACGATATAGCTTATTGTAATGAAATTATCCAAATCATTGCGTGTTACATTAATGCAGCTAATGCAAATGATGGTCTTAACACCATGAGTAGAATCGGTTAATTTATTAATATCGTCTTGGTAGCATCCAAAACCCGTTTCCCAGTCTCCCATGGCGATATCTAATGCATTGTTATACACATAATTCTTGATACAAGCTAGAATTCAATACAAAACATATTCCTCTACACTTACAGCGTAACACTTCCCCACCTTAGACACTATGTGTTCGTCCTCGTGACGCTTTGCCGAAATATAATTGGTGACTTGCAGTCACGTGGTTTTGAGGTAACGAATCATATTAGGCGAAAGGTAGAAGCTCTATTCACATGTATTCATATACTATTTGTATTCTATAGATCGACAGCGATAACGCCCCTTTTGAAGTACAAAACGCCGAACTTGGAATAGGTCAGATAAAATCTTCTGGAATAACAGATCAACTATTTGTAAGTATGCTCAATGTATTAAACTTGTTTGTTTTGTCACTAAGTCATCTCTTTTTTCATCTCTTTAATCCGATGATTATGTGTTTGGGTTGAGCTAATACAGGGACGGTGCATAACCATTTATTTATTACATCCCCAGCCATCGCATCATCCTATTTTCCAATCAGGACTGGGTTATATTAGGGAAAGGTGGTAGAATAGGCAACGCAATAACGCAAAGCAGATAATATCTTCACAATAAATGGGTAGAATAGTCAGTGCGATTCCATCTTAAACATATTATAGAATATAAACAATGCTTAGCTTTATAAGAGACCAGTGTCATTAATGTTTGATAGTTTGGAATTACGTGATTAGTTTTCGAATAGCAACAATTGATCCCCGAGCAGGGGTCCTAATTACACTGAGTCACATGAACGTTTTTGTGAATATTTCTTATTTTACGAGCAATTTACAGCCTTTCTTGTCCCAAAAGAACATTAGGAAAGCTAAAAATGTAGTCTTCACATCTCTCGCTATCAATAGGAAAAGTCTACATGTATAATGGGTTGTTATTGCACCTCAAAGGGAGATTGTGTCAGGATGTTTCTATGCTGTTACCTTTGTATGTTCTTATGTTCTAGAATTAATTTTGTTAGATTTATAATCAGAATTTTTCAGGAAATATTCTATTCAAAGGCATCCAAAAGCAATTAATAACCAATTTGATCTGGCATGGAATGATGTTTCTACATGGCGGAGGTATAGATAGAGTTATTTCTAGATCTTCATTATAACCTGAAGTCAGAAACTATCTTTAGTTATATTGATCGTCATATTATCTAATTAGCTTCTTTCATTACTTTTAAATGTTACAATTGTATTAGGGATTTTCTGTCCAATTCTTTTCTCTTGGGACGTTGCTTCTCCGTTGACGTCAGAGGCGACAGAATTTTGTGTTCCCAAAGTACCAAAAGGAAACGTTGTCATACATAACTCGTCTTGTGATTCAACATTCATTCTGTGTTTATATGTTTATATCCTGTTACGTAACATCTTGGGTTGTAATATCAGGTAGTAAGACATGTAAACGAAGCACCAGGTGAATTCCAGACATCAAATCAGGAACACATCACGCACTTGAAAAGACATCGGATTATTTCTCAAATATATATAAATATTGATAATACATAAAGAGAGACCTCTCAGAGTTAAGAAAGCATAATATTGTAGGCTTTTGGAGACCAAGATGAGCTGATAACCTGATAAGCAACCACTTATTTCAAGCCATACAATAATATAATTGCCGTATTCGTTGTTCCCTCTTCAAAAGTGGAGACGCGAAAGATTTTCCTTTTGGGGTCAAAATATTTCCCATGATGCAGTTCGCGGAGGGACAAATTCATACTTCCTTGTTTTCCTCCATAGGATTTTCACAGAAACGATTGATCTCCTAAACATATATTATTTTCATTGTTTTGATTTTGATTCATAGCGTGGTGAAAACGATGATTGAAAAGTGAGAACATTTCCGGAAAAAGGTCACGTGATCAGGTGACTTGTCGCCATATTGGAAAAAATTATTTCATTCGACTTTCAACACTTTTATTCCATTCTTACGCACTACAAACTGGAACATCGATGCAACAACAGAGTACTCATCTTCAAATAAGAGTTACTTTGAAAACCCACAAACAACTGAGCAGTTGACCAAAGAATACGCGTCGCTATTATCTAGGTCAATCAGTGTCCGACAGCAAATCCAAGTATAGTATTCGTTTCCGAATTTTATTGTTCATTGTACAAACTTTTCTTGATTATACTCGGTAGACTGACCATTTAAGGCAATTACAAAAAACAATACTTCTGATGGTGTCATTGTTTTATTTAGCGTGTGGGTGTAAAAATAAAATTGCGTATTTAGTTTGATTTAGAACTTTCGGCCCACGCAAGTACATGTAGCTACGCGAAATGTATCGTTCGTTGGAAAATATTGACCAATCAAATTTTGTCCTTTTTAGATTTAGATTTAGATTCAAATTTAGATTTTATTTATTCCTCTTCACCCAATTTAGGGTATTGTTTGAGGGCTTTTAAGGTACATATTTTCGTACCTTCTCGATTAAAGAGCGAACCACGAAAGGCTTAATTGTAAGTAAAACAAAGAGCACATCTTGTTGCAACGAAATGGAAGAAATAAAGAAGACACAAAATGATAAATATCGTACTTATTTTTGTCTGTACAGTTTAAATGTTTCAATAGTATGAAGTTGTCGAATTGACCTACTTTCATTCAAAATCGGCAGTATCTTACTCACTAACAGATATTGAAGAAATAACAGAACGTATACTTAAATAGGAAGATATTTGTAGCGAGAGTTGAGCGCATGTAGGCTTTGTATAAAAAACCTCCTACCTCATACCCACCTACCCGCGTACGTGGGACATGATACAGTCTTTGAAGGGTTCAATTTTAAAGATCTTAGTTTATTAAATCTTATTTTATGATGAATTATAAATGCATTTGTAACGACCCTTGATAGCAAGTTGCTACTACATCCCAGCTGGGTTCGATTCCCACTCGGGGCATCGAATTTAGCACACTTTCTTTCAATTTCCTTATCTGGCTTGTTGGACCTATGCTCGCAGTCGTTAGTTATTAATTCCCCCGGGGCGCCCTCGGGTCATTACACATTAAGAAATGTTAATAATTATAATCTTTAAAATTGAACCCTTCAATGACTGTATCATGTTCCACGTAGGTGGGTATGAGGTAGGAGGTCTTTTATACAAAGCCTAATTTATGTCATTTTGGTCTGCTGGGTCTTATTGCGGACACAGATTAGGCAACGTCTAAGGGTGGTAAAGCGCCAGAGCATGACATTTTACCAGAAATAACAAATATTTCGTATAATTTAGCGTAAGACAAAATAAACCACCCCAAATGAATGTGTTGGATGGGGATCAATTACATCTACAAATATGGTTTCAAACATTTTTTATCAACTTTGAAAATTTAATTACCTACTCGCATCTGCGTCATTGCTCCAGCGCTCTACCAAGAAGCGTTTTAAAATATCTGTATTGCCGGTTTGCCGGTCAACGGCCGTTTTGAATGTTTTGGTGGACAATATTTTCAATATTTAGATCCCCGTGAGATAGTGATATCTAAGTGGATGTTTTGGAATACTCATCTTAATGAATCCAAGTTCCCACACCGCAGTTTGATTCCTTATATTACCCAGCGTGATAAACAGATATTAGGGACATGTCAAGCACATGCGAGCGTTGTTAACAATTATGTTTACAGCAACATCCTTAATTTGATGAAGTGAAAAGGGTAGCAAGTGTCATGCAATCCAAATAGCAACACTCTGCCGTAAATCATTGCGGATGATCCCTGTTTGTTAATCATTTATCTATTTATTAAAGGGGTACAGGTCGTGTCATACTTAAAGGGGCACTAATCGTATCACATTTTAGGATCGTTTTAGTGAAACAATCGAAAATTCAGGCAAAATGAACATTTCGGAAAGAATGACAAATTGCCACAAAAAATCAAAATTTCGAAGAAAAATAATCCTTTGACTGTGTGACACAAATCAAAATTTTGAAAAATAATAACAACCAGGTGAATATGATTTTCAATACCGGGACGACCTGGTAGTATTTGAAGAGGGATTTTTCTTTATCAGTAGATAATGTTCCCTTGTGTTATTCACTGGGAAATAGTAGCACTATACTGTACATGTATAAAACCATATATGACAGGCATCGTCAATAAAAAAACATCACATTGGAATTATTTACATACTTTTAAAAAATATAACTTCATCTGATATAGGAAATTATTTAATATTCTATTTCCCGAGTTCAAAGAATATTGTCGTTTGTACATACTGGGCATCCTCCGAACGCAGTGCCCCAGACATCATCCACTACGTTCCTTCCTTCCATCCTCCGAACGCAGTGCTCCAGACATCATCCACTACGTTCCTTCCTTCCATCCTCCGAACGCAGTGCTCCAGACATCATCCACTACGTTCCTTCCTTCCATCCTCCGAACGCAGTGCTCCAGACATCATCCACTAAGTTCCTTCCTTCCATCCTCCGAACGCAGTGCTCTAGACATCATCTACTACGTTCCCTCCTTCCATCCTCCGAGCGCAGTGCCCCAGACGTCATCCACTTCGTTCCTCCCTTCCATCCTCCGAACGCAGTACTCCAGACATCCACTACGTTCCTTCCTTCCATCCTCCGAACGCAGTGGCCCAGACGTCACCCACTACGTTCCTTCCTTCCATCCTCCGAACGCAGTGCCCCAGACATCATCCACTACGTTCCTTCCTTCCATCCTCCGAACGCAGTGCTTTAGACATCATCTACTACGTTCCCTCCTTCCATCCTCCGAACGCAGTGCCCCAGACATCATCCACTACGTTCCTTCCTTCCATCCTCCGAACGCAGTGCTCCAGACATCATCCACTACGTTCCTTCCTTCCATCCTCCGAACGCAGTGCTCTAGACATCATCTACTACGTTCCCTCCTTCCATCCTCCGAACGCAGTGCCCCAGACGTCATCCACTTCGTTCCTTCCTTCCATCCTCCGTACGCAGTACTCCAGACATCCACTACGTTCCTTCCTTCCATCCTCCGAACGCAGTGCCCCAGACATCATCCACTACGTTCCTTCCTTCCATCCTCCGAACGCAGTGCCCTAGACATCATCCACCACGTTCCTTCCTTCCATCCTCCGAACGCAGTGCCCCAGACATCATTCACTACGTTCCTTCCTTCCATCCTCCGAACGCAGTGCCCCAGACATCATCCACTACGTTCCTTCCTTCCATCCTCCGAACGCAGTGCCCTAGACATCATCCACCACGTTCCTTCCTTCCATCCTCCGAACGCAGTGCCCCAGACATCATCCACTACGTTCCTTCCTTCCATCCTCCGAACGCAGTGCCCCAGACATCATCCACTACGTTCCTTCCTTCCATCCTCCGAACGCAGTGCCCCA